TTAAAAAGTATCCTTCAGAAAACAGGGAGCTGCCTTCTTAAGTCCTTAGAAAGTATCTCATTGCATGAGGCTCTCAATTAGTTTATTTTGACAGCCACACACTGTATAGGAACCGAGGGAGGCGTCTGAAAGCTGGGAGCAATGTGTATGGAGGTCGCCTGGCAGAATCCACTAAAAAGATGTCAGAAATAAATTTAACTCAGATTAGTCATTTTTCCAGGAGTAGAACCTCACATTTGCAAGCATTGGCTGTCTTTGTGAATCAGCCTTTAAAACGTTTAAAAATACAGCCAGCAGTTCCACTGTGGAAACGTGATCATAAAGTCACTGCCACCTGGGCCGCCGTCCTCAGGTCCAGCACACTGGCACTTGTGGCTTGGGGAGAAATGCTCAATCATGGCACACCCTGTTCAGATTTTTTTTTTTTTTTTTTTTTGAGGCAGAGTCTTGCTCTGTTGCCCAGGCTGGAGTACAATGACGCGATCTTGGCTCACTACTGCAACCTCCACTTTCTCTGGTTCATGCAATCATCCCACCTCAGCCTCCCAAGGAGCTGGGATCACAGGTGTATGCCACCATGCCCAGCTCATTTTTGTATTTTTGCAGGGAGAGGGTTTCACTATGTTGTCCAGGCTGCTCTCAGATTCCCGGATTCAAGCTATCTGCCCGCCTCGGCCTCCCAAAGTGCTGGGATTACAGGCGTGAGCCGCTGCACCCGGCATGAGCAGATTTCTCAGCCGTCACGTGGATTGCAAACAGCTTAGATGGAAGTGGAGATGTCGTGCCTGGGAAACTGTGTGAGAGGATCCAAAACATGGGGACGAAGCTGCTGGTGCAGCCAAGTCCCGGGAGCACCACCAGAGGCCTGCTTCTAGACCAGTGTCTTCTTTTAGCTGTGACTTTAAATATGCATGATGTGTGACCAAATTAACATATTAATTATTCACAGGTTGGCATCTGACACTTTCGTCCACACCTATATAAAGCTCATACTTTCAAGTTGGCTAGACGGGTTTTCTTTTCTGCTGTCTCTTCTTTGGAGAAGTGGAGCCTCACATAGCTCAGGCTGGCTTGAGCTTCAAGTGCGCGCGCGCATGTGTGCATATTTGTGTGTGTGCATGTGTGTTTTATATGTATGTTGTGTGTGTTTGTGTGTAGCTGTGTGTACGTGTGTGTGGGATGCAAATTTGTGTATGTTTCTGTCTTTGCAGGTGTGTTTGCAGGCATGTTTGCATGTGTTTGTGTTTGTACGTGTGTGTGTGCATGTCTGTGCGAAGTGTGTTGTGTGTATCTGAGAGTGCATGCATTGGTGTGTGTGTGTTGATTCTGTGTGCATTTTCAAGTCTGCATTGTTTCATGTGTGTGCGTGTGTTTGTGGGCATACGTCTGCTCATGTGCAGGTGTTTGCACATATGTTGCATCGTGGCGTTTTGTGCGTGCATGTGTCTTTGTGTGTGTGGACATGCAGCAGTCTGGCATGTTCAGGGGTTCGGTTTTGTCTTGGAGCCTGTGGGAACTGTCTGGTGGAGTCACCTGGCCTCACTGCAGATTGTGGCAGCAGAGTTGAGGGCTGCTGAGGGTGTAGCCCCTGTGGGGCCTGGTGAGAATGGGGAGGGAGACAGGGATGGTCTCTGGGTTTCTAGCAGGGACAACCATGTGGCTTGTGATGTCATTTACTGAACAGGGAGCAGGGTCATGGGGGAAGATAAATTGAAGCCAAGCCAAGCTGAATTGGAGGCATCTGGGATATGAACGTGCGGACGTCCAGTGGATGATCCAGGCAGGTCGGGGTGTTGGGGACGTAGCCGTGGGAACACCCATACTCAACAGGCAGAGGGTAGGACTGGGTGCCAGAGCAGAAGAGAAATCCCGAAAGCAGGGAGGAGTGATGAGGTGGGAAGGGTGCACTCCCGGGTGAGGGTAGCGGCGAGTGGTGGAGCGGTGAGCAGAATGGAGCCAGCAGCCCACAGCGTGCTGGCTGGTGGGGGAAATGGGTGTGAGAAGGGAATGGGGCGGGCGAGGCTGCAATGAGCGGGAATCAGTCCCCTTTGTATATCTTATGCGAGCTGCGCCCCGGCCCACCCACTTACACCTGCTTTCATTCCTTTGCAAGCCGGGCCTGGGAAGGGAAGGGCTGGTGGGGAGGAAGCCCCCAGACAGGGCTGCCATGAATGGCAGCCGCGGGAGCCCTGGCAGCACTGGACTCTCTCCTTTGAATCCCAGGCTGCTCTGGGGTTTCACTACCGAATAGCTCAGGGGCACCCCCTCCTCTTATTCAGAAAGGCACACAGCACCATGGAAACGTCCCCAGGTTCCTGAGGCAGGCCCCATCTAATGGGGCTGGCCCTCGGGGCTGTCGCTGGGCCTGACTCCTGGGATCCAAAGGGGAGGTGCTGGCCAAAGGCCATTAGCTGGCACCCATGCAGAGACACGCCACCCTGTTCCGCAGCCCGTCATTCATATTCCAAGCCCGACAGCAGTGCTGAAAGGAGCGAGGGATTCAGAGGCTTACTTCTTTTTTTCTATGTCCCCCGGGGACCTTGGAGGAATCTCATATTTAAAATCGTCTTGGCAAGAGCTTGTGGTGACTCTCACTCGGTCTTTGAGGAGGCCCTCATGTACTCAGCACATGCCTGGGAACGCCAAAAACTAGCGGGCTGGATGGGGAAGAGGAAGAGGGTTCTCCCCGTGTGCCTGTGCCTGTGTGCACGGATGTCCACGCTCACATACTTCCATGTCTATCCATACCCCGGCCCATGGCAGGTGGAGGCCTGAGGTTGGACCTTCTCTCTCCTTCTCTCGCCAGCTCTAGCTGAGAAGCCCCCACAGGCTACCTCCTCTCTGCTGGTGGGTCTGAACCCTTCAGGGAGATCACAGCTGGCGGCTGCGGTGGCAGCGAGCTTGCAGCAGGCGAGTGCCTGGTGCACCATGCTCTCCAATGCCACAGGCTCCTTCAGGCCCTACCAGCTCCTCTGCAAAGTGCAAGTCTACAAATGAACCACTTGCCAGGACAGCACACAGGCCATCGGGGTGTAAAGATGGGCTCGGGGCAGGGCGCAGTGGCTCACACCTGTAATTCCAGCACTTCGGGAGGCCAAGGTGGGAGGATCGCTTGAGGCCAGGCATTGGACACCAGGCTGGGCAACATAGCAAGACCCTATCTCTACCAAAAAATTATTTTATTTATTTATTTATTTATTGAGACGGAGTTTTGCTCTTGTTGCCCAGGCTGGAGTGCAATGGCTCGCTGCAACCTCCACCTCCCAGTTTCAAGTGATTCTCCTGCCTCAGCCTCCTGAGTAGCTGGGATTACAGGCGTGTGCCACTACACCCGGCTAATTTTTGTATTTTTAGTAGAGACGGGGTGTCATCATGTTGGCCAGACTGGCCTCGAACTCCTGACCTCAGGTGATCCACCACCTCGGCCTCTCAAAGTGCTGGGATTACAGGCATGAACCACTGTCCCCCACCCCCAAAATTTTTTATATTAGCCAGGTGCACACCTGTAGTTTCAGTCACTTGGGAGGCTGAGGTGTGAGGATCACTTGGGCCCAGTAGTTCAAGACTAGCCTGGGCAACTCAGCAAGACCCCATCTTTACGGAATTATTGTTATTATTATTATTTGAGACAGTCTTGCTCTGTTGCCCACCCTGGAGTGCAGTGGCGCCATCTCAGCTCACTGCAACCTCTGCCTCTTGGGTTCAAGTGATTCTTCTGCCTCAGCCTCCCGAGTAGCTGGGACTACAGGTGTGCACCACTACGCACGGCTAATTTTTCTATTTTTAGTAGAGACAGGGTGTCACCATATTGGCTGGACTGGTCTCAAACTCCTGACCTCGTGATCCGCCCACCTCGGCCTCCCAAAGGGCTGGCATTACAGGCACGCGCCACTGCACCTGGCCAGAAATTTTTTAAAAAGTAGTTGGGCGGCCGGGCGCGGTGGCTCATGCCTGTAATCCCAGCACTTTGGGAGGCCGAGTTGGGCGGATCACGAGGTCAGGAGATCGAGACTATCCTGGCGAACACAGTAAAACCCCGTCTCTACTAAAAATGCAAAAAACTTAGCCGGGCGTGGTAGTGGGCGCCTGTAGTCCCAGCTTCTAGGGAGGCTGAGGCAGGAGAATGATGTGAACCCGGGAGGCGGCGGAGCTTGCAGTGAGCGGAGATCGTGCCACTGCACTCCAGCCTGGGTGACAGGCGAGACTCCGTCTCAAAAAAAAAAAAAAAAAAGTGGTTGGGCATGGTGGTGCACACCTATAGTCCTAGCTACTTGGGAGGCTGAGGAAAGAGGATGGTTTAAACCCAAGAGTTTGAAGCTGCAGTGAGCTATGATTGCACCACTGCACTCCAGCCCGGGCAAGACAGCAAGACCCTATCTCAATTTAAAAATGTACATATATTTCCACACACACACACACACACACACACACACACACACATATGAGATCGATAGAGAGAAAATGGGCTTGGGCAAATGCCAGAGCCAACCTCAGTAAATATGGAGGCTTCAGACACACTCCACCCAGGATTCAGAGCCCCAGGGCAGGCAGCCACAAGCGCGCAAAGCCACAGATGCACCCTGTCCCATGCAACAAAATATTGGAAAACAAAACCCAGATATCAGCTCCTTCTGGTTGTTTCCATCTGTGTTTGATTCTTCAGGAAATTATTCTTTCCCTGCTCCTGAAACAAAAATGAAATCACATGTGGAGAAATAACTGCCTCACGCACGGACATTTTTGTGTCCTCACATCTCAGGAACTGAAATTCGAGGGGGGACTGGGGTGTCAACAGATGTACCCGAGTTCACGTGTGGCGGGGAGCTGGCGGCGGGACTCGTCCCTCCAGCTGGCTCCCCAACCCCAAGCCTACACGAGGACCACAGCAAAATGCCAGAAGCCCGGAGAAGCGGGGTTTCTGAAGCACATCGTTTGTGCAGCCTGAGCACATGGAGCAGGAACACACCTGGAGGTAATTAAAGGGACAGCTTCACGAGCAATCAAGGCGCCCTGAAAAACAACTTTTTATTTAAAAGGCCAGTAATGAGAATAATGAGTTGCACAAGAATGAAAACCGTATCCCTTCCAAAAGATCTGCCTATACGTTCTGTATAAGATTAGAATAATTCTAAATACAAAATGCCGAAGACCAGTGGGTCCGCTCCTTCCTCTCCCGAGCCATCTCGACAGTTTCGCCTTTCAGCTTCCAGACGTTGTTTCTGTTGCTTTTGAGGGTGCTACCCAGCCGTGGTCTGTACCAGACAGGGTAGTTGGCACAGCGTAGGCGCTGCCGGCAGGCCCTTGGGAGCTTGGCGAGGTGGGAGCCTTGAGAAATAGCTGGCTGGGACCCATGGCGGGGTTTGTGTGTCAACTCCTGGTCCTCAGAGAATCCCTGAGCCACGTGTGAGCAAGCGCTGCTTCCAAAACCAAAGGAGGAATTTTGCCATTGTTTAGACGGGTTATATTAGAATCTCATTCAGATCTTAAAGGTTATTGGTGCTTTCTGCAGAAGGTTTTTATTCCTCAAAAATGCAGCCGAGCTTTGCTGTGCTTATCTTGGTGGATCTGAGCTAGGTTGGGTGATCTCTTCCTAATTCAATTGGCTTTTTTTTTTTTTTTTTTGCAAGGAAGGGGGTTTCTGGTCTGTTGGAGGGATCAAGGGCATGGTCCTCACGTCTCTTGTCAGGAGACAAAAATAGACATTCAGCAGACAGACCACAGCCAGAGCGTGCGACCAGTGTCGTTTGGCTATTTTAGTCTCTTCTTAATACACAGACAAATGAGCAAAGAAAAAGCTACTTTGTCCAACACTGGGCCCTGGGTTGGAGTTTAGCCCTGCTTGGCTCTGCCCGCTAGTCTCACAGTCAGGTCAGTCACCCCATGCCTGGGGAAACGGTGGTCTTGGCGGTCTTCTCTGGCCCTTCCACCTCTTCTCCCTTGTGGGGACCACCCCAGCCCTCTCCCGACTTGCCCAGAGGCTGTACGCCTCTCTGGCATCACAGTCCGCACAGAAACTGGCTGTAGGACTCCACTGAAATCTCCCCGGTGCTGGCTTTGCGCCCCAGGCACACCCACCTCACTTCTGCCTCCTTTCTGCTGGTTTCTGGCCTCTTTGGTCCCAGCCCCTCCCTGCACTCTCTCTGCAGCTGTGTCTGGTGGGTGACGTGAACCAAGGGACACCCAGGGTCATGGCACTACCTGGATTCAGTTTGGTAATCCTCGGCCATCTGTCCCTGGCTTCTGAGCCTGGGGCCTCCTCCTCTTTCTCCCCCTCCTGGATGAGCAGGACACACTGGGGAGACAGCGTCCTACAAACGCCTCCTAAGAGCTGTGCCCTGTGCCAGGAAAGCTTCCCGTATCTCCAAGGATGTCTGTGGAGCCCTCCAGCTGGTGCCTCTGCTGAGGTCTGAGGGCAGCAGGAATAGGCCTCGGGGAGGAGGTGGGGGCAGGACTCTAGGGGAGAGCACACCTCCGGGGAGCTGCACCTGTGGCTCACCAGCCCCCTGCACTGGGGCCAGCTTCAGCCTCAGCAGTGTCGGCTCAACAGGTGTGGCTGCTGTCAACACAGTGGGGCCATGCCCTGGAGACGGACATTTTCTGTGTCTCCCTGTTTAAAGAGCATGTGATGGAGAAAGAGTATGTTAGTTTAACGCTGGGCTACCTAACAGCCTCCGATAGCAGATACAGCTTTGCTGCCGTTCTTTAAGTTCAAGGTGATGTGGAGGCGTTGCAGCGACAATCAGGACACCCTGAGCAACATGTGCCAGACAATCAGGACACCCTGAGCAACACGTGCCAGACAATCAGGACACCCTGAGCAACACGTGCCACCAACGTCTACCCCAAAGTGGTGGGCGGGACCTGCTTTGGCACTTAACCCTGGGGCAGAGGTCCCTTTCATGGGGACTCACGCTCTACTTCCAGTCTCCCCCGAGAGTTGTCTACTTTCCTAGGCCCTGCCAGCAGCCCCAGCAGCTCCGCCCAGCCTACTCCACCCATGGCTCCAACAGCCTGACCCAGTCCATGGCTTGTCCCTCCCATGGCTCAGTCCCGTCCATCCACAGCTCACCCCTCCCATGACTAGGCTCCGCCCACAGCTCACCCCGCCCACGACAGGCCCTGCCCACGGCTAGGCCCCACCCACAGCTACCCCTCCCATGACTGGGCCCCGCCCACATCTCACCCCTCCCATGGCTAGGCCCCACCCATGACACCCCTCCCATGGCTCCATGGGCTTCTCTTCCCCTCCTGCCTAAGTTCCCGCAGGGCCAGAACCCCTGGCCCCCAGGCCCTGGGGCAGCCGGCAAGGAGGCCTCTCCGCTTGGTGCTGTCTCCAAGGAACAAAACCACACTGCAGTGTTCCAGGACCACAGAACAGCCGGGCGGGCTGTCCCCAGCAAAGGGGACTGGTGACCAGCACTGGACACTGGGCATCAGCTGAAGACACAGGCTTGAGAATGCATTGCCATTTACCCAGCGAGCTTCAAGACAGATGCTGGCTTTTAACAGAGCAGTCCAGCTGCACCAAAGGAGGACATGGTGGTTTATGTATGGAACATTCTCCGCCAAGCCCGAGGCAAGAACGCCCTCTCCATACCTGTAACCCAAAGCTCTAGGCCACTGGTTCCCAAGAGTGAGCATGTCCTGCAGAAACAGCTTGGTTTAACAAGAGGGAGCAGCTGCCACAAGAGAACGGAGGGTCTCCCGCAGCGAACGTGCAGGTGTCTCACTTTCTCAGGGCTTTCGAGGTAGACTGGCTCCTAGGACTGCAGCTTGGAGCTGGCAAGCAGGGATGGCTGGGACAGAGCCCCAGGGAGTGGACCCGGGAGGTGGGGTGAAGACAGGGGTTTACAGAGAGCCTGTGTTAGTTACACAGTCCATCAAGTTACCAGCCAGTTCAGTGAAAAAAAAAAAAATGGACTTGACAACCCATAGACCAAGTAAGGAAAAGACGTACACAGCCAGGACCCCCGCTGACTCAGTTCCACCCACTGTAGAAACAGCGCCTAAGTGGAGACAGGAGCCAGGCTGCGAACCGCAGGGTGGGGCGGGTCCTGCACTTTGGGTGGCCCCATCCCTGACTGACTGGGAGAGGACAGGCTGCACTGGGGACACCTGTGTCCTCCTCCCACAGGGCAGATGGACATGCAGAGCCTCCTCTCTCTCTTCCACAAGCCACTGTGTTGGGGCCATCAGCCTTCTGACCGCCGTGGAGGACGCCCCAGGGTCAGCCTGGGTGAATCAGAAGGACGCCATGCTGCAGAAGAGGTGCCCAGGGGTTAGCCTGTCCCTGTGGCCAGAAGCCTTGGGAGAAGCCGTTGGCTGTGTAAGAAGGGGCTTTCTAACATTGGGTCTTTCCTGAGACAGCAGCCAGCCCTGGCAGGAGTCCCCACAGGGGTGCTGTGGAGATGTGGACACCAGGCCCGGGCTGTGCAGGGGTCTAGATGCCCCTGAAGGCCCACCCAGGTCTAAGGCTCTTCCTCTTGACGCCCCAGCAGGGGCTAATCTCACACACAAGCAAGAGATGGGCACTGGACACTGTGCGCTTCCCCCAGGAACTCCTTCCTAGGCCTCTGCAGCTGCTGCCTTCAAGGGCTCCTCCCAGGCCTCCGCAGCTGCTGGCTCCCCAGGCTCCGCATGCCCAGCCCAGCCCAGGCCAGCAGTGGAGCTGGGAGTGCAGAGGCCGCACACATGGGGTGATGGGGACTGTCCCAGACACCACATGCAACACACCCCAGCACGAGCCTGTGCTCTCCCTTGGAACGGCGAGCCTGCCTCCTCACCCTCCTCTCCTCTCCTTCCCCGGGGTGGCCCCACAGAGGCTGAGACACCTGCTGCCGGTTTGGGAACAGACATCACCCTGATGTTTTCAAAAGCAAGTGTGATGCCGCTTTTGTGGTTATAATTTGGAATTAAAGAGAAGACTTTGTCTCCACAGTGACAGAATCCAACAAACTCCTTCCTGGGAAGGGCAGCTGTGGAGGGCGCTGCTCCAGGGGTAGCGAGGGTGACGGGAAAGGACGGTGTGAGCAGGTGGGGCATGGCGTATGCTCATTTGGGGACCTGGGTGTCTTTAGCTCCTCACTGGCTTGGGACATGCCGTGTTTTGCTGTGGGGATGGGGGGAAGCCGGTCTCACACCTTCCTAAGGCACAGCGGGGCGCCTCTGCCTGGCCTACTGGGCTGAGATCGAAGCAAATCCTGGTTGTCGTGGGTGTCACCAGGAAGAGCAGGCGTGGTGTTGGCGCTAGCTGTGGATAGCAGCTCCTCATGGTCAAGGTCATGGGCAGGTGGCGAGGTGGTCAGATAACATGTCACTACAGGGCTCCCTGGTGTCCGCGAGCTCACAGCAGACGTGTCTGTCGCCACTGAAAACCCACCATCCGAGCTGCAGCTGGAGACGAGGGAGATGCGAGCCGCTGGCCCTCCCCGGAGAATAAAGTAAAGGCATTTGGGTTTCCTTCCACAAACAAAAGCACAGAGAGACGATGCAGATGTTGAGAGGTTAAGTAGGTATCATTCTTCTCCTAACACGACAAATTATCTTTCCAGTCGTGGCTCCTATGTCCTCAGCAGTGCTGCCATCACGTCATGGAGACAGTGACGGGGACCTAGACTGGAAAGTTCTTCGTGGGCAGAGATGGGGCGATGACAATATCGTCGGAATCATCGGAGTTGACGTCATCCCCAGGTGGAGGTGCCACGGACTGCGGCCCTGCGGGAGAGGGGTCTGTGGAAATGAACCACAGGGAGACAGGTCAGCCACGCTGACCTCAGGGGCTGACACCACGGACACCCTTACACTCTCTGGTCTTCCCCGGCGGGTAAGACGGCGGCTACCCCCAGAAGCAGTAAGCCATGGGGCACACAGGCCCGCAGGACCAACTCACACACCTGCCAGAAAGCCTCACTCTCCTAGCCTTCACACTCAGCTCTGGTCACCATTCCCCAAATCCAAACTCCTGCAAAAGCGGACATTTGCCAGCACAGAGGAACCTCGAGTCTGCGCCGGAGGAATTCCCTGGAAGTTGTTCCCACAGCAGCAGCCCAGGAGTCCGGGGCCTGGCCGGGCGGCTACCTGTGTGTAGGAGCGTTTCTGCTGGGTGCAGTGGCTCACGCCTGTAACCCCAGGACTCTGGGAGGCCGAGGTGGGAGGGTGGCTTGAACCCAGGAGTTCTAGACCAGTCTGGGCAACATGGCGAGGCCACATCTTAAAAAAAAAAAAAAAAAAAAAAAAAAAACCCAGCTTCCCTGTTAACTCGCTGGCCACTGGTATGGAAGGCAGGAGGGGGCAAGGCACGGATCGCTGTGAGCCTGCAAGCTGCTCGGCCATTCCCCTTTGGATGCTACTTCCTTCATAAGCATCTAGAGTGTTCAGAACTCTTAATCCACTCTAGAATGGGAAGCCACCTACAGACGGGATGGGGGTGGGTACCAGAGCTGAAGAGGGGACCGGCCCTACCACACCAGCAGCCCCAGAGCTCCTCGCGAGGGAGCCTGACTCTTACTGCCTTGAAAGATGAAAGTAAAAAAGTAACGAACTGCTGATGTGCGATTTTAAAAAGGGAAGGAAATGGCAACTCGGCCATGCTGCAGATACTGTAACTGTGTCAGCTTTTTTTTCCTGCCACTTCCAAGAAAATTCATATTAAAGGGGAACCTTACGAAATTAAAAAAAGTTTTCATGGTGATCTTCAAAAACAACCAATCAGCTTAAACAAAAGCTCGATTTCTACTTTTCATAGAGACATTTCCTTAGGTCAATCAAGCTGAATCCCTGGGTCACTGGGATGAACTTGCCCCTTCAAAATCACTTGCGTTTAGCAAGAGAAAAGGGCAGCACCAAGGCCCGCTTTAGCCCCTGATCAAAGCCTCTAAAGGTCGCCAAACGCAGGGTCTGGTGAAGCCGGCGGAACAATGGAAAGCCTTTTGCAGAGCCCGAGAGTCACAGGCCGGCCGGCGGCTTTGCGTGTCTGCACATTCTCCCCGAAACCCCACGGGGCTCCTCTTTTGGTTGAGCTTTACAAATGGAGGTTTTGGAGCGAATAGCAAAGTTCAAAGTTTTCTAGCTCTGACGAAACTAGGTTAAAAACTGACTGAAAAGAAGAAAACGTGATTTCATATGTGGCATTTCCAGGTCAAACGTGGTGTATGGTTCTTAGCTCATGCAGGAGACTCTCTCAGACACAGCCCCTAGCAGGACCCGCTGGGGAGGGAAGGCTTTCGGGCTCCAGGTCTGATGTGGGCCCCAAAACGGCCTCTTCCCGACTCCGTGTCATCACAGGAGGGATCTCCTAGGAAAGCAAGGCCTCGGCCCACCATGGGCCCCCACACTTACTGGAGTGGTGCTCGGGGGCTGCCGCCTCCCTGGGCCCGTCCTGAAGGGACATTCTCATTAAGGCGTGTGGGTCCCGGGCAGGCCTCACCCTTCCTTCACCCCCGGCCTTCATCACCCTCATCCTTTGGGCTCAGAAGAGCCTCTTCCTTTGTGGCTTTCCTTGCTGTTCTGTCTCCTCCCTCCCTGACTCCACCCTGGAGACCTAAGGACTCAGCACAGCAAAGCCCTTCACCTAACACTTCCCACGCGAGATGGCCCCGCACGCCACACTCCTCAACAGGTCTCAAGGCTGCCCTTCTCCATCTCCCGACAGTCCCGCGTCTCGACACTGCGCCTCTGCGCTCATCCTCCCTTTACGGCTTGAAGTATCAATGAGGGGTTTCTAATTGCAGCATAAGACACGGGATCTCAAGTCTACGCAGAGCAGCATAGATTTGGGAGTGCAGAGTAGCTTTTGAGCTGTCTAGCCCGTTCTCTACTTTGCACATGAAGGGACTGATGGCCAGAGAAAGGCAGGGCCCTGCTGGGGCATCCCCATCAGCTCCGGGTAGCTCTGGCAGAGCAGGGATGAGGCCTCACCCGAGGGTGTGGCATCCTGCAGCGCCAGCGGCTTCTTCATTGACTGTTTTTGGGCTTTAACAAAATAGAAAAGGAAACAATAACACAGTTTTACTTAACAAATGGGAGAAATGCTGGCCCGAAGGAGGAAGCCACCTTGGTCCCATTGGAGCTGAGAGCAAAAATAAAGACAGCGAGGACCTCTGCAGTTCCAGGGACAAGGGACAAGCTGGGCCAAGGGGGGCTCTGTTGGGGGCCTTCCTGGCATAAGGCGACGCTTAGTTCAGAGGCAGCTCCAGATGGGACACTCCTCCCTTCCGTCCTGACACAGCCCGGGCTTCCTGGAGGTGGCCACTGTTTGGCTGGGACCTCAGCAGACCAGCTGCCCTGGTGCCAGAATCCAAATGAATGAAATTACCAGGAGGAGCTGCGAGGAAGGGTGGGGAGGAGGCGTCCCTGTGTGTGGCTGAAGCCGATCTCCTCTTCGTAGAAGCTGCGGTGGTGGTTCTTTTACCGGTAGCGCTGGAAAAAAGAAAACGCCAGCTGATTCTGCCTTTAGAGAGTACAAACCTCTCTGAGGTTTACGACAGGCCTCACTAATTTGCCTGGAGGCAAGTATTCCAATGAAAGCAAACACACAGCCACGCCCGAGCCCCATGGCCAGCCCTGTACCCAAGATGCACCCAGGGTCCAGAAACGTCCGGCCACGAAGAGCCTCAGACACGTCCCCTATCCATCTCCTCAGGGACCATGCTGAGGTCAGGCCAGTACGGTTTTATAAGCTGGCCTCAGACGGCTCCCTTCCCTGTCTCCTGTCTGGGCTGGCCCAGCTGCCATTCCCCAGGGACGTGGTTGCAGGTTGCATAGCCCTCCACGTCCTGGCTGGGGCTCGCTGCCCAGCGACGGGTCCCCGACTCCTGAGCCCATGGTGTGTCCCAGGCCACATGGGATCAGGACCACGAGATGCAGATGCGGCCTTGGAGGGAGAAACTGCCCACTTGGAAGTGCTGGGTGGCTGCGCGTCTCCACCATGAAGGCCGAGAACCAGAGTAGTCTGTGATAAGAGGGGAACAAGCCCCACGCAGGGTGAAGCAGAGGAGGGTGAGGGAGTGGGGCCGTCTCTTCCCTCTACTCTAAACTCCCCCTCTACCCAGGCTCACTTCAAGGGGTTTTGATTTCTGCAACCAAGAGAGTCCTAGCGAATCCACCGGGAGGCCTGTAGGAACACTGCCATCTAGACCCTGCACGCGTCGCCTATCATATGCCGTGTCCAACACTGAGGTCACATCACAGTTTTCTTTCAAAGGGATGACGTATCGGCACAGCCGAAAGCCAGGCCAGACTGATGGCGACCTGAGCTACACGGTTTCTGAAGCTCCTCCTTATCTCCTCCCAGTAGGGAAGAAGCGACTCTGGAAAGGGCTCCCGAGGATCAGAACTTCCAGCCCGCTCCACATCCGCGGTGCAGCAGGGAGTCCTCACGACGCGAAGCCTTTACTCAGGCCCCAAACTGAGGTCCCGCTGGCAGGCAGCAGGTGCTGCTCCAGTTCCCGCTACATGCCCTGCGCCCAGTGCTCTGTGCCCACTGCAGTGGGCAGCCTCCTGCGCCACATCTGTGTCCCAGGGGGCATCCCTGTGACCCCGACTCACCTGTGCCTGGCCCGGGCCAGGTGTGCCCGCAGAGCGGACTGGATGATGACGATGGCCTCCTCCTGTGCAGGGCTGCCCTCGGCCTGGACGATGGGGCTTGGAACACGGGGCACAGGAGAGCTCTGGGGCACAAGGACAGTAGGGAAGATGACTGTTTGGCAGACCCCTGGTGGCTCCTGGTGCTGGGCCCCGGGGACACCCTGGGTGTAAGGGAGACGGGAAGAGCTCAGTTTCCATTTCAGGTGGCCCTGCCTCCCGGGAATTGCTGGTCAGTGAGCAGCCTCCTGGCGGCAGGTTCTGAATTTTTAAACTGTAGGGATTCTTAAACAAACACCTGGTCCTCCTTACAGAGGAGGGGCTGGCATGGCCTGCGTCTATCTTCGGTAGTTTTTAGCTACATCTTCATGGAGCTATTTGACTCTCTGGCAGCTCAAGGCAATCTGGCCCTAATGCCATACCCATCTGGGGCCTGTGCAGAGGGGCCTGTGCAGAGGGGCCTGTGTGGCCTACGTGGCCAGGGATGGAGTGGAGGGGATGCCTGCTGGGCGGGCGGGGATGTGGAGGCTGAGAGGTGCCCTGCGCTTTCTCAGTGGATGGAGTGTGAGATGAGCAGCTCTGGAGATGGCCACTGGGATGTCCAGCACCCCGATGTTACCTGGTCTGGGAGGCCTGGCATGCTGGGCGGCTCTGAGCCACGTGCTTTGCTTGCTAAGAGTTTTGTCCGCGCCACATGTCCCCTGAAAGCTGCCTGAAGCACCACAGCCGCCTGTCAGGGAAGGAAGCAGGGAGAGAAAAGCAGGTGTGAGTGCCCGGGGTGACGGCGGGCAAGAGGGAGGTGCCGAGGGGAGAGCTGCCTCGGTGGTAGGGAATGCAACTCCTCTCACCGCTGCGCAGCCATAGTCTCCCAAAGAGCCTTCTGCGCTCCCACTCACCCCAGTCCGTCAGAAACTCACTGGCACCCCAGGGAGCACAGGGCGCGGCGCCTGTTAGCACAGTGGGGACTCTGGGAATGGGAGGGGCCTGCTGCTCACTGCAGTCCCTTTCAGTGGCTAATAGGGGCTGGTATTTCACACGTGGTTATGTTTTCATGTTGGAGCATTTTTCCGCGTTGGAATAGTTTACTGGTTTCATCTACTTTCCATATACGTTTTCTAAATCAAGCAAGGGGCAACAGGACCTCTAAAGTGATCTTAAGAGAATGATTTATCCTTTGAGCTTAATCTTAAATAATTTTCTTAGGCAATGTGGCCGGGTGCAGTGGTTCATGCCTGTAATCCCAGCACGTTGGGAGGCTGAGGCAGGATGATCACTTGAGGCCAGGAAATTCAGACCAGCCTGGGCAACATAGCAAGACCTTGTGTCTACAAAAAATTAGCTGGGCATGGCATACACCTGTCATCCAGTGCTTTGGGAGGCTGAGGTGGGAAGATCCACTGAGCCCAGGAGTTTGACACCAGCCTGGCCAATATGGTAAAAACCCGTCTCTACTGAAAATACAAAAATTAGCTAGGCGTGGTGGTGCATGCCTGTAGTCCCAGCTACTCAGGAGGCTGCGGCATGAGAATCATTTGCACCTGGGAGGCAGAGGTTGCAGTGAGCCAAGACTGGGCCACTGCACTCCAGCCTGGGTGACACAGTGAGAATCTATCTCACTCCGTGAGAAGTCCACGCTCCATTTTCGGGGAAGCACTTATTTTTGAACAATCTGTCTCTAACCCCGTGAGCGCCCCCAGCCTGATACGGGCAGCTCTCAAACACGTTAGGAGAATGACGAGTGTGCCCACCGAGCCCCACGCCAAGTGAGGTTAGTAGGCTTGCCACTGCTGGAACAGAAAGCACCTTTGTTTTGTCTTAAAGCAAGGGGAAGAACGCTGGGGTGGGAAAAGAGCTCAGCAGAGGAGGGCGAGGCAGCGCTGGCTATCAACAATGAACGATCCGCCAGAGTGCGGTGACCACATGGAGGCTGCCCAGAAGCTTCCGGTAAAGTGGCTGCCAGGTATGGGGCGTTCTGCACCAGCCGGAGGGGTAAGAGGGGCACGCATCTCTGTCACGCCACACACTGCGCCCACACTGGCAAACCCCACGCTCACCACAGCCCCACACAGGCAGCCTCACTGCTGTCTTTAGAGATGAGGACCCCGAGGCATGGGGGGTGCCAGGGAGAGAAGCAGGACGGGGAGACAGCACCCACCACTGACTGGCCCATTGGCCGAGGAGCCCGGGTCCCCTCACCCACTCGCTGGAGGGCATTTACCAAACGCCTCCCACATGCCAGGCGCTAGTCTAGGCACCAGAGGTGTTGTGGCAAAAAGAGCTTGCATTCTGACGGGAGGCTGGCAAGAATAACCACAAAGTGAGATGCCAGGCAGGGGCATGTGCTAGGAACCGCAGCCGGCTGCAGGGACTGGGAGCCTGGGCAGGCTGTGGTGGGTGGGCAGGTGGGAGGCTGACGTGCTGGAGACCTCGGGATGAGGGCCTGAGGGCTGCTAGAGGATGGGAGGGATTGTCAAGAGACGGGGATGTTGGAAGTTGCCACTGCAAATGTGTCAGATGGGTATGGACAAGGGTGTGGCTGTGGGGCAGGTTCAGGGACGACGAGGCCAGGCATGGAGGGGCTGCAGAACTGAAGGCTGAAGACTAGGGCAGTGGTGAGCAGGGGGCCCTTCCTCAGGGACAGTGTGGTGAGCCAGGTGGGCAGTCCAGCTACCTGCTCATGGAGGGCGCTCACGCGGCTGTGGCCTGGCCGCCAGATGCCAACATTCTCCCACTGCAGCTGCGCGCAGGCCACCGAGCCTGGTGCGCCGCCCACACCCGTGACCATACTGGCTGTCCTGACTGCAGAGTATGAACCCCGTGAAATTTGGACAGTGTCTGGCTGGTCTGTTACAAGCTCCTCTTGTGCCTGGCACATGGCAGGAGCCCAGCAAACACTTGTGGATGAGTAGTGTGGCCAAGGGGAAGGGGACAATGGGTGGGGTAAGGGGAAGGCAAGCCCCGCCCTGATGGCAGAGCTGTCAACCCTGCTGGCATCAGATGCACCTGGCGAGTGTGAGGACAAGCGGGTGCAGGGTCTGCCCTACCACGGAGAAGCAGCTGCCGGCGAGGAAGAAGGCAGTGTGAGAAGCCCTGTGGCCCAGCGCCGGCTCTGAGTGACTGGGGCTGGGGCCTCTCCCGCGGTCTAAGTGGAAATACACTGCCGTCCCCGAAGGGGCCCTAGAGGAGAGGCGAGCATCTCCGAGGCCACCAGGACTCTAGCAAAATAACGATCTCACTTTCCAGCTCCTCCCTGAAAAGGATCATGGCTGGAACCGCACTGTTCATCCATCTGTCAGTTCTCAGCTGTGGGTGACATACTCAACCTCCATTCCAGTTCCACGCCCTCGCCCCGTCTCAGACTGCTCATCCCGCCGGCTCTGCTAGGACGCCCTCCCCTCACTTCCCGGTGCAGCGAGCTCTGACATCTGTCCCACGAGGCCCACCTTGCACGTCACTCCTCACAGGGACCTCCTGGCCTTTGTGTGCAGGGCTGGCCGCCCCCAGTGCCACCCTGGGCTGTAACCGCTTGTTCACTTGTGTGTCTGAGCCTCTGCGTCCCAGAGCCTCTGAGACTGTCCTGCGCAGGGCTGGTGATCAGTGAATGTGCATGAAAAGAATGAATGGAAGGAAGGAATGATTGAAGAGATTTTGAAAGTGGGAAATTATCCAAATATTTATTTGATGTTTCTATTTCTTATGTATGTTATACTTAATGTTGGGGTCTGGTTTGGTTTCTTGAAAAGAAGGACTCCCTAGGTGCGGTGGCTCATGCCTGTAATTCCTGCATTTTGGGAGCCCAAGATGGGCGAATCACCTAAGGTCAGGAGTTGCAGACCAACCTGGCCAACACGGAGAAACCCCATCTCTACTAAAAACACAAAAATTAGCCGGGCATGATGGCGCGCACCTGTAATCCCAGCTACTAGGGAGGCTGAGGCAGGAGAATTGCTTGAACCCAGGAGGCGGAGGTTGCAGTGAGCCGAGGTTGCACCACTGCACTCCAGCCTGGGCCACACAGCGAGATTCTGTCTCAAAAAAAAGAAAAAAAAAAGAAAAGAAAAGGACTCAACGCATCTTTAAATATCCCCTCACCTACTTTACAACAAAATACAAATCCGTATTTTGAAACTGATGAAATAAACCTCACTTACCTCATCCAGAACAGCTTTTTTTTTCTGAAAAAAAGAAAAAATACATGAATAAACACAAGAAGGATGAACGTTTCCCCACACAGTGGTTTTCAGTCCTTGATCTTGCCAACAGGCGTCCATCAAGCCAACAAGAGGCCTGGCTGCCCTGGCTCCTCCCTCCCGAGCTGCCGGGGCCCAGCAAACAAACGCCTTTGTAAGGAGGACGAAAGTGAGAGGCAGAATGAGGATGGCGGGAATTCTCCGGGAGTCACGAGGTGGCCCAAGCTGCAGATGAAGGGATGTGTCTGTGCCGTGTGCCGGTCCTCTGGCTGTGCAGAAGGGACTCCATTAGGCCAAGCTGTGCAGCTAAGGAGGTGGATGTGGGCCCGATGTGAGAGCCCTCTCACATCACAGGTGTCCGGACCACTGTCCTTTCTGGATAAGTCCCGGAATTCGGAGGCTGAGGCTGCCTGCTGGGGATGTTATGAAGGGGACTTTGGTTCAGGGGTCTGGATCACTGGCCTCAACCTGACTGATCATCAGTCACCCTTGGGTGTCCTGGGAAGTTTCTGTGGCTGCAGCTGACACACAGCGTCACAGTCAGCAGAGAGGGTCCCTCGGAGCACGTGTTCTTACAGATGTGAACGAAGTCCTTCCCAGATGTTGACGCCAAAATAATCAATATACACTTAATGAAATGGAATGGCCACGGCCAGATAACAGGTACCTCAGCCAGCTGATTTTCCATAGTCATCAGAGTGCTCAGCCCACATGTGTACTACTGTACACAGGATCTGTCCCTTGGGAGATTAAGGAGGAACTGAGTACAAGGACCAACAGAATGTAAGATGGAAGCAAAGAGATATATACACTGAATAAGAGAGAGACAGAGAGACAGACAGACAGACAGACAAGCCAGCATCTGCTCAGCACCTGAAGGGAAGTCACTAAGTTTTCTCCCACCTTTTTGGGAGGACCAGGAGTCGGCCCCGCTAATAAGGAAACTGCTTTTCAGACGAAGACAGCTGTGACATGAAGGACACGAAGGCCACGAGGGGAAAGGTGGTGGGGACAGACCTCATGGAGGCCAAGCTGTCCCCTATAAACTGCTGGCTAGTTACCAAGGGAAACTCGTTTCTTTAAAATGGCGAAAGCCAGCAGCCATGACCAGGTTAGAAACACAAACAGGGGCTGGCCTGAGGGGATGGGGGTACACAGCCTAAATGTGAGACATTCTTGCCAAAAGCAAACCTGGGTGAATCAGAGCTGGAGACCTTATTTCTCACTTATGGGAAATTAAGGGGACAGAGGAATAAGTTAATGACCCCACAAGGAAACAGATCCAGGACAGGGAACATTCTGTAACACACTGGCCTGCTCTCTGCCAAAGAAAATGTCCTTAGGCCGGGCGCGGTGGCTCACGCCTGTAATCCCAGCACTTTAGGAGGCCGAGGCGGGCGGATCACGAGGTCAGGAGATCGAGATCATTTTGGCTAGCACGGTGAAACCCCGTTTCTACTAAAAATACAAAAAATTAGCCGGGTGTGGTGGTGGGCGCCTGTAGTCCCAGCTACTCAGGAGGCTGAGGCAGGAGAATGGCGAGAACCCAGAAGGCGTTGCTTGTAGTGAGCCGAGATCCCGCCACTGCACTCCAGCCTGGGTGAGAGAGTGAGACTCCGTCTCGATAAAAAAAAAAAAGAAAAAAAGAAAAAAAAAAAAAAAGAAAATGTCTTTAAAAAGAAAAAAAAAGGCCGGGCACAGTGGCTCACACCTATAATACCAGCACTTTGGGAGGCCAAGGCAGGTGGATCACCTGGGGTCAGGAGTTCGAGACCAGCCTGGCCAACATGGTGAAACCCTGTCTCTAATAAAAATTCAAAAATTAGCTGGGCATGGTGGTGTGCGCCTGTAATCCCAGCTACTTGGGAAGCTGAGGCAGGAGAATTGCTTGAACCCGGGAGGCAGAGGTTGCAGTGAGCCGGGATCATGCCACTGCACTCCAGCCTGGGCGACAAGAGCAAAACTCCATCTCAAAAAAAAAAAAAAGAAAGAAAAAACATCTAGGTGCAGTAGCTCACACCTGTAATCCCAGCACTCTGGGAGGCCGAGGCAGGTGAACAGCTTTAGCTCAGGAGTTCAAGACCAGCCTGGACAACATGGCAAGACCCATCTCTACAAAAATTGGCCAGGTGTGGTGGTGCCTGCCTACAGTCCCAGCTACCTGGTGGGCTGAGGCTGGAGGATTGCTTGGTCCCGGGAGGTCGAGGCTGCAGTGAGCTGCAATTGTGCCACTGCACTCCAGCCTGAGTGACGGAGTAAGACCCTGTCTCTATGAAAAAAGAAAAAAAAGGCTGGGTGTGGTAGCTCATGCCTGTAATCCTGGCACTTTGGGAGGCCAAGGTGGGTGGATCACCTGAGGCCAGGAGTTCGACACCAGCCTAGCTAATATAGTGAAATCCTGTCTACCAAAAATACAAAAATTAGCTTGGCATGGTGGCGGGCACCTGTATCGCAACTACTTGGGAGGCTGAGGCAGGAGAATTGCTTGAACCTGGGAGTCGGAGGTTGCAGTGAGCCAAGATCGTGCCACTGCGCTCCAGCCTGGACAATAGAGCAAGACTCTATCTCAGAAAAACAAACAAACAAAATCGGCCAGGGTGACCTGTTGGTTAAAGAAAAGAAAGGGTGGGGGCTGCTGTGAACCACACTAAGGAGATGTAACCAACCAACCCCCGGGCTCTGGCGGGAGGTGGGCTGAGAACCGCCATGACTGAATGCTGGCGGGAAACAGATAGCTGCAGGCGGCATCTCGGGACGTTTGGGAAATGTGAACAGGAAGGGCCGGTAGGTGAGGATATCAAGCTGCTATGACAGTCTGAGGGGCAGTCACGGTGCTGTGGGCAGGTAGGAGAAGACACTGTTCCTTACAAGATACATGCTAATGTTTCATAACATCTAAAACTCATTTTCCAATAGTTCTGGAAGAAAACTGTATGAAAAGAAATCTGGCGAGATGTTCAGTATTGCACAAAACGCACCCAGAACGGATGAGTCAGTGTGTGAACGAGGTTTTTATTTTCTGTATGTTACGGTACTCGGACACCCGGGGCCCGGCTGGCCCCTCAGGCCTAGTCATTCCTAGACAGTGCGTGGCTTGCCTTGGAGCATGAAGACTCACAGGGAGCAGCCCGGGTCGCCTTGGGGAGCCTCACCTTGTGCTTGTACACCTTCCACTGGGCCTGCAGCACCCTGGCCGCGGCGTCTCTTCTCCCGTCAGAGCAGGAGGAGCGGGGCCGCGGGAGCCCCTCCTCACTGGACTCCGGCGGCCAGTCTTGCTCGCAGTGCCTGCTGCTGGGAGTGGGAGCTGGGAGCTCTTGGGCCTGCAGGAAATTGAAGGAGTAAGAGGACGATGAAGCCAGGGCAGGGACGAGCAGTACCCGGCAAGGGGACAGGATATTACTCTGCACAGTGCGGCTGGGCTTATCAGGCGAGTCTTATTAATGTGGCGAGAGCTGTTCCACACTGGTCCGCAGGCCACATGACAGCGGTCTCCTGTACTGCTGAGAAACCGTGTCCAGGCGAGCACACACGTGCAGACACACCTCTCATTAAACTCCCTCAACTCTGTCTGGCCACGCCTTCTGGGAGAGAGAGAGGACGTTTCTTCACACGGCCATCACACACTCACTACACTCGGTCACATTTTGTTCCTGCAAGAATTGTTTTTCTGGGGTCCTTTTCTGTTTTCTAGTTTAACGCTCTAAATTATAAACATGGGATTTCTGGGATTGAAGGCATTATATATATTTCTACCATGGTTTTTAAGGTAGAAACAAGCCAGGATTGCTATAATGACCACTGAAATAACCATGATTTCAGGCTGGGTGCAGTGGCTCACGCCTGTAATCCCAACAATGTGGGAGGGCCAAGCAGGGAGGATCACTTGAGCCCAGGAGTTCAAGACCAGCCTGGCCAACACAGCGAGACCCCATCTCTATGAAAAAATTTTTAAAATACCCGGGGTGTGGTGGCACACCACTGTGGTCTCAGCTACTCAGGAGGCTGAGGCAGGAGGATCGCTTGAGCCCAGGGGTCAAAGCTGCAGTGAGCCATGATTGTGCCTCTGTAGTCCAGCCTGGGCAACAGAGTGAGACCGTCTCTAAAAAGAAAAAAGAAAAATTATGATTTCTAACACTGATGACTCCAAATGTATCACCCACAGGACACTACCCAGTACAAACGAAAAGGCCTCTCATGTCAAGAATGCAAGCTTGGTGGAGAGCATGCTGTTGCTGAAAGCCCTCCCCAGAGGGAGACACAAGACTGCTCCCAGTGCACACTGGGCCAGGCGCGGGCACAGGTGGCCTGTCCACAGACTTGAACCAACACAGAACGGATTGCACTGGCTTTTCATTATCTGTGTGTTACGACGCTTGGGGCCTTGATGCCCCTCTGGGCCTGGCCAATTCCTAGACAGTGAAGGGCCTGCCTTCGGGCACGGCCATCCTATGCGAGCAACTAATCCAGTGCCCACACTCAGAATCGTCTCCTGCGCTGGGCCCCACACTCCAGGAGGCAATATTCCTCAGCCTTAATCACCCAGGGCCAGGTGCGGGACAGCTCAAGACCACCCTGTGGCCCAGGTCCCGCTGAAGTTCTTCAAGCTTCCAGCCCACCGGCCCCGACCAGCCAGCTCACCTCACTTCGCCCGCTCCTTCCCATGATAAAGGCCCTGGCCCAGGTCTTCCGCACATCCCTGCTGCCTCCTGGCCGACGCGCTGCTCCTGCGTGGCCTTGCGTGCCCTGCCTCCTGTTTCTAGGGACCTGGGAGTGTAAACTTCCTAGGACAGTCACTTGCATGTCTACACATCTTAACATCCCTGACGAAGATGCCCTGGGTACATCCACACAGCCAGCTGTTTCCAGATCCCTTTAGCTGTGGCACCAAGTTGCTTGGCACCAGCATTCCGGCCCTGGGCTTCCACATTCCAATTTTGTGACCCTAAGAAGAGCCTCATCTTCCCTCAGTCCTGACACATTTTCAGGCCTCTGTTCCGCTAAAGTGAGATCAGCTGTTAGCATGTGGCCCGTGCCAATGTGATTGGAAAGGTAAAATCAGCTCCTCAGAAGATAAATGAACATTTACTCACACAACTACAGACAGTTAAAAAAAATCTAAATGTTCACATGCTTATAAATTCCTTGAGGCAACTCTTAAACCCACTCTTGGCACTCCATTTAACCTGCAATTAATCATTCCCACGTGAATGCTAAGAGCCGATTCCCCTACTCGGAGAGCTGATCACTCAATCCCACTCTTCCTTGTCTCTAAAATAGAAATGTTTCCTGAGGAGGAAAATAACACAAAGCTAATACATGCTTATTACGAAAAATTCAGACAATACTAAAAGAAAGTAAAAAAAAAAAAAAAAAAGCTTATAACCCTACCACACAGAAAAGGCTGTATTTCAGCAGTATTTTCAGACATTTTTGTTTTCTTTCTCTCTCTCTCTCTCTCTCCTCTCTCTGTTTTCAGACATTGTTCTTTTCTCTTTCTCTCTCTCTTTCTTTCTTTTCTTTTTTTAGTGAGACAGGGTCTGGCTCTGTGACCCAGGATGGAGTGCAGTGGTGTGACCTTGGTTCACTGCTGCCTCCTGAGCAGCTGGGACCACAGGCGGTGGCTTCGATCGGTTTTATCCATGAGCCCCTCTCAGAGCGAGCTGCAGCCCCAGTATGGTGACGCCAAGCTCCTGCTTCCTGCCTGAACATGCATGGGCCCACACCTGCCCTCCGAAGGATCCTACCCACTGGAAGGGGATTTGTGAGGACGCCCTTCTGCCACCAGAAGTGCAAGTGCAGGCAGCACCGGCCATGGTGCCCAGAGCATGGCTGTGACCCTCCAGGGAGGCAGCAGAGGGCCAGGAACCTTGGAGCCACAGAGACACTGCCTCGACCAGCTGCCCCTGGGTAGCGTCCACACACGCGGAGGGAGTGGAGAGGCAGGAGGGCATCCGCCTAGGGTCCCTGCTCACCTGCCGGGTCCCTGCTAACAGTCACTTCGTGCTCAACCCGTGCACAGCTGAGTGACAGCAGAGAGGGCAGAGGAACCCCCACTCCACCCAGAGGGCAGTGCCTGCTGAGGCCTTGCTGGCCTTGTGTTCTGCAGAGAGGGCAGAGGAAGCCCCGCTCCACCCACAGGGCAGTCCCCGCTGAGGCTTTGCCAGCCTCGTGTTCTGGAACTTAGATGAGAGGAGAGGGCGCAGGCCTAGGTCCATGCAGAGGCCTGACTGAGCCTTTGTCCTTTCCCCCCACGCCCCTCCTGCCTCTCAGTGACAGCTCCGGCCACACACCTACACCCTCCGCACGGCTGAGCTTTCGGTTAACTCTTTACTCACCAGCCTTGAGACTCAAATATCAGTTCGAGAAGTCAATTTGCTGACAGTCAATTAATCCAAAACGCCGGACTTTGACACACACGACATGAGTTATAGAAATCAATTGTGATGACAAAAGGGAGTGGGATTTTCAGTGGATGGTCAGAAACAACTCTGGGCAGAGAAACGGTCGGAACCGTCATGACCAGAGGAAGCCACACCACACCTGACGGGAGATTCAGGCAAACGGTCACTGTACCTTATGAAGAACTTCTGGGCAATCCTCTTTCTCTTCTTTCTCCATTTCTTGCAGTTCTCGGAGCTTGCTGGTAAGCGTCTGAATCTCCTCTCTAAGGCGGAAAGGGAAAAATGAGACACCTCACCTGTCACTATGTGATGAAGGCCGGCGCAGGGCAGGGTGGGGCGGGCAGTCCACGCTGAGACAGGGGGACGCCAGGCAGCCTGTAGAGGGCTGGTAGGGCCACGTCTCCCTGAGCCACAGGGCCCAGCTATGACCTGACGGCACCAGAAACCCCATCGCAGGCCGGGACTTCCTGTTGTCTCCTGCTCTGGGCTGGAAGCCCAACGAGGCCAGGGCTGAGGACCCCCAGGGCCCAGCACCTCTCCTGAAACAGCTAAGAACTAAAAACAGAATCCATTGTGTGAATAAGTAAGTAGGAGGCCGGGCGCGGGGGCTCACACCTGTGATCCCAGCCCTCCGGGAGGCCGAGCCCGGAGGATCACTGGAGCCCACGCGTTTGAGATAAATAAGCAGGGATCACTGGGGTGTTAGTAAACAGTATGAACAGGAGCCACTGCAGTTTAGATGTTCATTCTAGGTACTAAAGGCAAAAAAAAAAAAAAAATTCATTTCTGCACATGTGCTCTTTTGGATTTACTTTAATTCTAGCCTTCTGACAGAATTCAGTCAGATTTCTCCTGAAAATGAAACGTTTTCTTTTTTTTTAAATTTTTTTGAGATGGATTCTCACTCTGTTGCCCAGGCTGGAGTACAGTGGCATGGTATCTGCTCACTGCAACCTCCACCTCCTGGGTTCAAGTGATTCTCCTGCCTCAGCCTCCTGAGTAGCTGGGATTATAGGCACCTGCCACTGTGCCCGGTTAATTTTTGTATTTTTAGTAGAGAGGGGGTTTCACCATGTTGGTCAGGCTGGTCTTGAACTCCTGACCTCGCGATCCGCCCACCTCAGCCTCCCAAAGTGCTGGGATTATAGGCATGAGCCACCGTGCCCAGCCAAGGTTTTCTTCATTCCAGTAATCTATGTCTTACTAATTATTCTGAGTGCTAAATATGTCTGCTCAGATTTCTAACCTAGTTTTTTGTGTATTTTAAAAAGTTAAGACTCATCACATAAAATTCACTATTTTAAAGTGTATAATTCAGTGAATTTTAGCATATTCACAGTGTTGTGCACCTACCACCCCTATCTAATTCCAGAACATTTGCATCGCCCCAGAAAGGAACCCATGCTCGTCAGCAGTCCCCGCTCCCCTCCCAGCCCCTAGCAGCAGCACTTGTCAGGTGGGTCTGCCTGTTCTGGACGTTTCCTGCACACGGAATCGTGTGCTGCGTGGCCTTTTGTATCTGGCTTTCTTTGCCGAGCACCACGTTTTTGAGGGTCCCCGGGCCAGGCCTGTCGGGACTGCCGTCCGCTCTGCGCCTCCGTGTGGTCGACCTCAGGATGTTTGTCCACCAGCAGCTGATGGACCGTGGGGAGGGTGCTGCTTCCTGGCTCTCGCGAATGGCGTTACTTTGAGGGCACGGGCGGCCCCTCTTGAGGACGTGGCCCACACCAGGGTGGCTCTGACTAGAGGCCAGTGTGATGGCTCGTTGGGAAGGGGCAGGTGCTGGCACAGCCAGAGCAGAGGATGCCCCTGTGAGGTGGCCACGATGCCAGAGGGCAGGCCCTGCTCAGCACCCAGAGGTTATTCCCGAGCTGAGTGACAGAAAACCAAGGAAAGACTGCAGGGAGGTGTGGCCTTTCTAAAAACCCGGCTGGCAGCGAGGCTGAGATGCCTCGGGGGGCTGCAGTGATGGCAGGAGTGCAGACTCGCCTGGCTCCTCTCTCCGGCCCTGACCCGGGTCACATACCTCAAAGCCTCCTCTCTCTCTCTCCTCTCCTCCTCGCCCTCCCTCGCGCGCTCCAGCTCCTTCTCCAGGTCGGCCTTCGCCTGCAGGAGCTGCTCCACCTCCAAACTACACACACAGAATAGGAGACTCATCAGCGTTCACGAAAACTGGAGGTTATGTCAGAGCAGGAAGGCGCTTCTGAAAAGTGACGGTGCTCAACCCTTCCTTAGGACAGCGGATGGTGGGGCAGGAGGACCACCAAAGGCCCATTTCTTTTTTTTTTTTTTTTTTTTTTTTTTAAAACAGAGTCTCGCTGCTCTGTCGCCCAGGCTGGAGTGCAGTGGCGCGATCTCGGCTCACTGTAAGCTCCACCTCCTGGGTTCACGCCATTCTCCTGCCTCAGCCTCCCTAGAAGCTGGGACTATAGGCGCCCGCCGTCACACCCGGCTAATTTTTGTATTTTTAGTAGAGATGGGGTTTCACCGTGTTAGCCAGGATGGTCTCGATCTCCTGACCTCGTGATCCGCCCGCCTCGGCCTCCCAAAGTGCTGGGATTACAGGCTTAAGCCACCGCACCCGGCCAAAAAGCCCATTTCTAATCACTCAGTGCCAAGGACAGACCTCAAGGCCCTGCCTGCCCTGAACCAAGCACTTGCTGTGTGCAGGGGATCAACAGGACGATGCCAGAGAAGGCCCTGCCATCAGGCCATAGAATGGGGAGTTGCCCCTCCAGCCGCCACTCATTGGCACGGACCTCGCACCCGCGTGGGGGTGCTGCAGGCAGGCGCAGGGTCCGTGAATGGGACAGGGGCCTGCCTTGCCTAGACCGTGCCACTGCCTATGCGGGGCTCCAGCTGAACCGCTCCCAGATGCATTTCTTGCGTCCCATGTGGTGTGATGGCCACACACTGGCCTTCAACGGAGACTTCTGTCCGAGTCTCAGATGGACTGTATGCTGTCTGCGAGTCCTGACTGCTCAGGGCCTGTGAGTCTCTATTAAATGCCAGAAACCCTAGAGTGCTTAGCAGAGCCCCTGTCACACAGTAAGGGCTAATACGAGGTGGCTCTTGTCATGTCACTTTACAGTTTCATAGATAATTCCAGAAGTTATTTACCTTTCATGACTACCTTAATTTTTTTTTTTTACCTGATGTCTATGAACTCTGTAATGACTGCTGAATTGGAAAAGCTTGTCATGAAATATGAATTTTTACAAACGACCTATCAATTGCCATAAATGCGATCTGAGACTTCTTGTGAGGGGTAAGGACAGTGGTGATGGGTTGGCCTTCTACTGTTCACAGCAGGCAGCAGAGAACTTAGCAGGCTGGGAGGCACTGGCCGAGTTCTCAGACCCTAAAGGGCACACAAATCACCTGTAGGGCTGGGCGCGGTGGCTCACACCAGTAATCCCAGCACTTTGGGAGGCCGAGGCGGGCAGATCCCTTGAGATCAGGAGTTCCAGACTCAGCATGGCCAACATGGTGAAACCCCATCTCTACTAAAAATACAAAAATTAGCCGGGTGTGGTGGCGCATGCCTGTAATCCCAGCTACTTGGGAGGCTGAGGCACAAGAATCGCTTGAACTGGGGAGGAAGAGTTTGCAGTGAGCACAGATTGTGCCACTGAACTCCAGCCTGGGTGACAGAGCAAGATTCTGTCTCAAAAAAAAAAACAAACCATCACCTGCAGATCCCACTGGATGCAGAGTGTGATTTCGAAGGCCGGGGTAGGGCCTGGGCTCCTGCATGCTAACCAGCTCCCAGCTCCTACTCCTGCTGCTGCTTCACAGGCCACTCTGAGGGGCAAGTCACGGTAGTGCTTGCAAACTAGAGAGAAACATCATTCCAAAGATGATGGAGGTGGTTGCCTCATGGCAGAGCCGAGCCCAGAGGAGCCGCAAATAGGAGGAGGACAGGAGCCAGGCCGGGTGCTAGGTGGCCACAGGTCATGGAGCTCCGGAGCTCCGGAACACTCGGTGAGGCCCTGCCTTCCCAGCCCTATGTTCACACCAAGTATTTCACAGCATTTAGGTCTTCTTCTGGTTGTTTTTTTTTTTTTCGGAGACAGAGTCTCACTGCCACCCAGGCTTGCATGCAGTGGTATGATTATAGCTCACTGCAGACTTGACTTCCCAGGCTCAAGTGATTCTCCCACCTCAGCCTCCCAAATAGCTGGAATTACCAGCTTGAGTCACTATGAATGGCTACATTTTGTATTTTTTGTAGGGATGGGGTTTCACCATGCTGCCCAGGTTGGTCTCAAACTCCTGGACTCAGGCAATCCTGCCACCTTGGCCTCCCAAAGTGCTGGGATTACAGGCGTGAGCCACTGCGTCAGGCTGCAGCACTTATGTTTTATTTCATATGTATTAATAGATCATATGCCCCATAAACATTATTACTGAATTAAGACCATGCTGCATAAAATCTAATTGATTTTACATAAACCAATGAAAGTAAATTCGTCTCTAGTAGACAATTTGAAGATTTCTCTGGAATTCGGGGTAGAGAGATTTAAATGTGCTCTCCCACCATTCTCTACACTTTTTTTTTGAGTTGAAGTCTCACTCAGTTGCCTAGGCTGGAGTGCAGTGACATCATCATAGCTCACTGCAGCCTCGAACTCTTGGGCTCAAGCGATCCTCCTGCCGTGGCCTCCTGAGTAACTGGGACTACAGACATGAGCCACCACTCCCAGTTAATTTAAAAATTTATTTTGGAGAGATGGAGTCTTGCTATGTTGCCCAGGCTGGTCTGAAACTCCTGGCCTCAAGTAATCCTCCCACTTCGGCCTCCCAAAATGCTGGGATGACAGGTATGCCCGACCCCTCATGCTTTTGATAATGTAATATGGTCAGTTAGTGTCTTCTTGTTATCACTAAAGCTGCCTTTCTTTCACCACCAAAACGTTAGAAGTTTTAGAATCATATAAAAATATGCAGTGACCACTATGAGCTGAACAGTTTTCCAAACTGACAACTGTTGAACCCTGGTGAAGATCAGTTTCCACAGGGAGTGACAGCTGCTTCCCTGGCGAGGCTGTGGGCGGGGCCTCGGGAGGACCTACTCTCTCTGCAGCAGCTGCTCCCGTGGGGACACTGGTGGGGCCTCAGGAGCTACTCTCTCTGCAGCAGCTGCTCCCATGGGGACACTGGCGGGACCTCGGGAGGACCTACTCTCTGCGGCAGCTGCTCCCGTGGGGACACTGGCGGGGCCTCAGGAGGACCTACTCTCTGCGGCAGCTGCTCCCGTGGGACACTGGCGGGGCCTCAGGAGGACCTACTCTCTGCGGCAGCTGCTCCTGTGGGACACTGGTGGGGCCTCAGGAGGAGCTACTCTCTCTGCAGCAGCTGCTCCCGTGGGGACACTGGTGGGGCCTTGGGAGCTACTCTCTTTGCAGCAGCTGCTCCCGTGGGGACACTGGCGGGGCCTCGGGAGGAGTTACTCTCTCTGCAGAAGCTGCTCCTGTGGAGACACTGGCGGGGCCTCGGGAGCTACTCTCTCTGCAGAAGCTGCTCCCATGGGGACACTGGCGGGGCCTCGGGAGGAGCTACTCTCTCTGCAGAAGCTGCTCCTATGGGGACACTGGCGGGGCCTCGGGAGCTACTCTCTCTGCAGAAGCTGCTCCTGTGGGGACACTGGCAGGGCCTCGGGAGGACCTACTCTCTCTGCAGCAGCTGCTCCTGCAGGGCGGTCCGCTCTTCCTTCAGGTCTCTCACGGCCCCTCGGAGACGCTCATGGTCCTTGCTGCGGTCCCCTCGTGGCTGTCTGTGCAGCACAGAGCTGGATGCAGGGCAGGCTGGCGGGTGTGATCTGACTGGTTCTGCGGCGTGTGGTTTTGAGCTCTCCATCACACTTAGTTTCTGGAGGCAACACAGGCATGTTTTAGATGCTAGTTCTCATTTCTACTTTCTATTTACTAAACCCAGAAAAGAGGCACCGAAGCAGGGTGAACCAAGTCTCCAGCAGGGCCACGAGAAAGCTTTGAGGGGACCCGAGTTACCCGGAGACACAGCGGGGCACAGGGCTACTGGAAGAGCATGATCCCTGCTCAGCTCTCTTTAATCAGAAGTGAGGCACGCCAGACCCCTGCCGAGGCAGGGCACAGGCAGAAGCCATTAAAATAGAGAGGAGGGCATGAGGGGAGGTGACTCAAACGACTCTGCACATCTACCTTCCTGCCCGTCCCCACCCTCCACTCCTGCCTCTCCCGGCTCTCGGACGTGCTGCCCACTGTGCTTCCAAACCACCTCTGGGTGCCTTGACTTCCCAACAAGTTCTATATTTTAAACGTTCACAATTTATAGAAACTTCTCTTCTTGTTTTTTTTTTTTTTGAGACAGGGTCTGGCTCTGTCACCTAGGCTGGAGTGCAATCACAGCTTGTTGCATTCTTGAACTCCTGGGTTCAAGCGTTCCTCCTGCCTCAGCCTCCCAAGTAGCTGGGAATACAGGTGTGCACCACCACACCCGGCTAATTGTTTTCATTTTTGTAGAGATGGGGTCTTGCTATGTTGTCCAGGCTGGTCTCAAATTCCTGGGCTCAAGCAATCCTCCTCTCAAAGTACTGGGATTGCAGGTGTGAGTCATTGTATCTGGCTAGTTTTCTATATTGTAAATATGTAAAAAACTATTTTTCAAAAACGTTTTTCCCTCTAGGTTTATTCTTCTTGGCCAAACAACACAGACGCTCTAATTTACTATTTAAAATACAAAGGTCCAGGCCAGGCACGGTGGCTCACGACTGTAATCCCAGCACTTTGAAAGGCCAAGGTGGGCAGATCACTTGAGGTCAGGAGTTTGAGACCAGTCTGGCCAACATGGTGAAACCTCATGTCTACTAAAAATATAAAAATTAGCTGGGCATGGTGGTGGGCACCTGTAATCCCAGCTACTGGGGAGGCTGAGGCAGGAGACTGCCTGAACCCAGGAGGCAGAAGTTGCAGTCAGTCGAGATTACGCCACTGCACTCCAGCCTGGGCGACAGAGTGAGACTCCATCCCAAAAAAAAAAAAAAAAGAAAAAACCAGCCTGGCTCAGTGGCTCATGCTTGTAATCCCAGCACTTCAGGAGGCCAAGGCGGGCGGATCACGAGGTCAGGAGATCGAGACCATCCTGGCTAACATAGTGAAACCCTATCTCTACTACAAATACAAAAAATTAGCCGGGCGTGGTGGCAGGCGCCTGTAGTCCCAGCTACTGGGGATGCTGAGGCAGGAGAATCACTTGAACCTGGGAGGCGGAGGTTGCAGTGAGCTGAGATTGCACTACTGCACTCCAGCCTGGGGACAGAGCGAGACTCCATCTTAAAAAATACAACCCCAAACAGAGGTCCAATTCCAGTAGAATCAGCCTAATTCCTACTTTGCAAAGTCGCGTAGGGGATGTGGGGAAACGTTCACTTCCCGATATTTCTGGCTGACCAGGAGTTGGGTCAACAGTTCCCTGTGGATTCCAACACAACTCGAGTGGTGGAGGCAGCGCCTGGTCGTCGACAGGCAGGGCACAGCCCACAGCCTGCACAGGCGGGCTGGACCGTGAGGGGCTCCAGTGCGAAGCGTGTCTGCCTGCGGCCACGCACAGAAGCTCACAGCCCAGCGAGGGGCGTGAGAGCTGCCTTCAGTGTTGTCTACACCTGGAAGAAGTCTCCTTGCGGTCTGTGTGTGGCGCTGCCTGGCGGACAGCCAGTGCCATGCTCAGTGCCACCTTCCGCACCCTGTGAGCCCGTCCCCACAGCATGAGGCCCCTGGTCCTCAAGAACAGTGGCCCTGAGACGCCCGCTCACCTTCTCCAGCTCCACAATGCGTCTCAGCAGCCGGGGCTTGCTCCACTCCACATAACCTGAGGGAAGCAGTGTGGTTTCAAACGGCTCCTGGCGAGCACTGCCAGCAGGGCCACCCTTCTCAGGTACAGCCTGAGGCTCCTCTCCCGCAGCCGGAGCAGCCTGCGGGGCTGCAGAGCCACTCTGACAGGTCCCGGCCCCCTGGGGGTTTCGCCAGCACGGGCCCAGTCTCTGTCCCCTTGGACCATGAAGAGATGTCTGTACTAATGGCCTCCAAGCATCTCAGGGTGACGTGCTTTCCCATTCCACCTGGCCAGGCCATTAAGACAGTTCTCATCAAGATCTCCGATGACTGTCATTCTGCCAAATCCAACAATCGGTTCTCAGTCTGTCCCCTTCCTGGCATGTACAGCCCCTCGCTGGCCACTCCTCCCCTCTGCCTTGTTGGCTGCCGCCCGCCCCACCATACACGGCCAGGTTCAGGGCCTGACCCCTGCTCCTCTCACTCCGGGTGAGCTCACTCGATCCACCTGAGTGCTGGTGACTCGCATGCTTGGCTCTCCAGACCAGGCCTCTGTCCCGCACCCCCCACACAGCCACTGCCTGGCCCGCACTCCCACACACTCAGACCTCCCGTGGCCCTTCCCCATCTCAGGAAACAGCAACTCTGTCTTTTCAGTTGCTGGGACGAAAAGCCTTGGAGCCTGGCTGCTCCCTCTCAGAGCCTACACCCTCTCTGCAGTTTCCCTAAGCTCTGGCTACAAGATGCAACCAGACCCCGACCACCTTTCGCCACACCCACTGCTCCCCACATCCAGGCCACCAGCAGCCCGACTAGACAAGCGCAGAAGCCTCTGTCTGCCACCATCCCTGTCTCTGCACAGAAGCCAGGGGGCCTCGGGAAGCAGCACGGCCCCTCCACCCTCTGCCTCACACTCCCACGGCACCCTTAAGGCTCCCATGGCACCCTGCCCCACCGCCCCACGGGGCCTCAGGGGCCATACTCCACGTGTCTCCCAGGCACTCAGCCCTGCCCCGCCTGTCCCACCCCTGCTGCCATCTTCATGGCTGTCTCGCCCCTTCTGGGTCCCACTCAGCTGTCACTGTCTTGGGGGCGCCTTCCCGTCAACCCTGCTTGCAGCTGCACACACCACCTGCCTCACCCCAAAATGTGTCCTCCTCCCCTCCTCCATGGCACGGCCATCTGACACACCTGTCACGCATCTGACCCAGCTCCTCCCTCCCTCCAAAAGCACTGTCTCCTCGAGGGATGTCTGTGAGCTTCCGTTCACAGCTCCATCCCCCGGGCACCGTGTGGCCCGTGGCAGGTGCTGGCGCACGTGGGAATTGGCATCGCTCAAGGGTTCACATCTGCCCTCGTGGTGCCTGTCCAGTGGCCATGCCCCGCCCTTCCCTGGCCTCCCTCCTGCAGTGGCTTTCAGGAAGGTACCCTGTGTCTTGGAGATGGTGGGGGAGGTGCTCAGCACGCGGTCCAGGTCCTCCTTCAGGCTCTGGTTCTCCTCCGTGAGCTCCTGGACGCTCCGGGACAAGTTCAGGAGGGCACTGCCCATCTTCTTCTGCCTTTTGGTGCCCGTCTTCTTCTCCCCCAGGGGCCTAGAACAACCAAATCGTGGGCTGAGGTTTGCATTGCTAAGCTGGTTTCACACATGCTTGAAATGAGGGGCAGGTGAATCACAGCTTGCTTTGCTGGTCATGAGCTCAGAGTGGCTTTTGCAGGTAAGTATTTGAAATCGAATAGGCAGTAATAACTTTGAACCCTAAATAAGCAAAACGTTAGCACCCAAAATGGAACCCCATCCTTAAGCAAGGTAAACCTGTGTAACAAAATATCGTACTCAAGTAACAGTATTGTATTTTCCATGCCATCACTAGAAGGGTTATGGAAACATATCTTGTTCCAGCAGGTGCCTACAGAATAGCTTAGATTTCACTTCTTAGCCCACAAGGTCTAAAGTATAGTCGATCCTCATTATCTGCAGATCCCATAATTGCAAATGTGCTTGCTGCTAAAATGGATCCGTCAGCCCAAAATCAATATGCACGGGGGTTTTGTGGGAATTCTCACACGTGTGAAAAATGCCAGCTCGGGCTGAACCAGGTGTTGCTCGGCTCCTCACCTCAGCTCATGTAAAAACAAGTGTGCTTTCTGTGGCCTGCCTGGTGCTGTGGCTCTCACGCTTCTGTGCTGTTTGCTGGTGATGCTGCCTTGAGTGGGCTGGACTGCAGTGCTGAGTGCTGTCCAGTGCCTCTAAGCTCAGGAAGGCTGTGTGGGCCCCTGTAGAGATGCTTATGTGTGTGCGAGAAGCCTCATTCAGGCCAGCCGTGAGTTTGATGAAAATTAATCTACAATCACTATTAAATAGGGTGTCTTTAAACAGACACACACATTAGCCAGGTTATACTTTGACTGGCTGATAAAAATGTTGCGACCAGGTCGGGCGCGGTGGCTCACGCCTGTAATCCCAGCACTCTGGGAGGCCAAGGCAGGCGGATCACCTGAGGTCAGGAGTTCGAGACCAGCCTTGCCAACATGGTAAAACCCCATCTCTACTAAAAATACAAAATTTATCCGGGCGTGGTGGCACATGCCTGTACAGTGCCAGCTACTCGGGAGGCTGAGGCAAGATAATCACTTGAACCCAGGAGACGGAGGTTGCAGTGAGCTGAGATTGCATCACTGCACTCCAGCTTGGGCAACATTTTCCAAAAAAATATATATATATATTGTGAGCAGAAGTTCGCAGGAGCCCTGTTCCTCCCCTAGGAGCAGTGGTTTAGCATTCGCTCATTCCATGTTCACGGAGACTTTATAACTCTGTAAGGCAGACGTGATAACCACTGCACTACAAAAACCTACAGACACTTTGTAATTGAATAATGAGAATCAATTGTAGTTAGTATCTGGCCCTTTACAGAAAAAGTTTTCCAACCAGTTTTAAGGATTAGGGGTAAAGAAAAAGGAAAGCAGTCCGTGACATCAGCAAGCTGCTGCAGAGGCCAGTGACACGGCCAAAGCCACCGTCAGGGATCAGCCACCCAGAAGCGGATGGCAGCCTGGTGCTGCATCCGTTGGGAAAGGGATATGGGAGATCTACCAGACAAGGAGAACCTCAGTGTTTCTCCTGATAAACTTATTTAGGAAAACATTAGGTGGCAAAGTAAACTTGTCCTTGTATGCAATGTCTTCCTAAAAAGGTGGATCTGCTTTGAAACAGCACTTTCTAGCTCTAAGCTGGAAGGCAGGATGTAGAATCTAGAACGAACACGGGCAGCACTGAACAAGCGTTGGTCGTCAACACGTGGTCACTATGAGTAGTCTGTGAACACCGCAAATGGAAACGTATCAACTCTAACCCTGAACAGAACAGTGCGGTGTTGGCACCACTGCCAAGCTAAGGGCAGTGTATGCTGCACCCACGTGACAGCCACACGCTGTCAGAGGAGCTTCCACAACGTGAAGGCAACACACAAAACGCAGCTCACAAAAGGCCATCATACTTCTTTCCGGTGGTTTCAGAACTTGCCAAGAGGGTCTGGAGACGATGCACCTGTAAATACCAAATTGAAATGCATGAAAACACAAGGCTAGCATGGAGAAGACCTTCTCTGAGAAGACTGACATCACAGTCCTGACCACTGCCTACAGCCGGAAGCGAAAACTAAGTGGTCGCACTTCATCTTTCCATTGGGCTTGAAGCAGGAGCAGGCTCCAGGAGCGCAGCTCTGGGCCACCTGGACTCGACCCACCACGTGGGGCCAGTGCCGGTCCCCTCCCACTTGGTGCCCCCAACTCAGTGCCGGCCCTCCGCCCCGCCGCCCAGCACGGTGCCCGCCCTCCGCCCCGCTGCCCAGCACAGCGCACCTCCTCGTAGTACGTCTCCATGGCGATCCGCATCTCTTCCAAGTTGGTGGTCTTCATATCAGCCTGGAGTTTGCTGAAAACCCAAGTTCAGTGTTAACAGGGCCGTGCCAGTGTTCCCAGGGGACAGAGCAAGAGGAAGAGTTTCCCAGAACATTCGGAAGAGGAGAGAGAAGAAACATTTGGAAGAGACCCGGGATGGGAGGGAAAAGCCTGAATGGGCCTTCACTCAGCTTGTGCCTTGAACAAGGGACTCGTTTCAAGCCTGATGGGAGAATTCCTCACACTGGAAAGCATCCCCTGTGTAGACCAGCTGCTTCGCAAAGTGAATAAACAGATTCCCTAGAGATACTCTTCTCCAAGATGCTGTCTTTAAAAGACTAGATTAATGGTGAGGAAAGACTTCGGAGCTTAGAGAGGACAAGCCGCTTTGAGTGGTTGGTTTTGTGCGGAAGAGAGAATCACCTTTTCCCTGGCACTGTCAGGCTGTCCCCTCGCTCTCAACACAGAGCAGACTTTAAATAGAGACAGCGATAGAGAAACCAAAGTAAGGTCATGGAGGTTCTGCACTGAAACAAGAAGAAATCTGCAAACTTAAGTTGACAAAATTGGGCAGGAAATGAGGGGGGAACTATTGTACGAACAGGAGACATGAGGCAATGGATGTGTGGCCTCAGTTTCCCTTAAAGAAACCAAAACACGGCCTAGAAGGACTCTCCGTTCGCGCTCGAAAGGCAGGTAAAGAAACGCGAGTAGCCACACCAAAAACAGCACAGGGACGGCGCAGGACTGAGGCATGGAAACCTCATCCTGGGAAGATACAGGGTCCACAGAGCAAGCAGAGAGAAAGCATTCCTTAAATACAGGAAGAAGTTGAAGGGAAATATTTAGAGGGAACAAAGACAATTAAAAAAATTAAAAAGAGGCAGCTAATATTTACCTTCGGCTTTGGGGTGGGAGTAGGGACACAGGACAGGGGTTGGGGAGGAACAAAGGCTGGAGTCTGAGCGAGCAGCACAGGGGGGCAGGAGGCAGGGGAGAGGATGCAGGCCCTGCGCCCACCTGATGGTGCCATCCTTCTCCTTGCACTGCTGCTCCAGCTTCAGGATCCTCTGCTTCAGCCCATTAATGACCTGCCGGGGAACATGCCCATCAGGCAGGCCACCCCCACTCTCCCTCAGTAGACGTGGCTGTCCCCTCCTCCCAGAGCACCTGCACACCTCACTGGCCTTCCTCCCTCCAGCACTGTCCTCTCTTCTAGACTACAGGCCCAGGGAAGAGGGAGGGCCCCACTGTGCTGTCCTCTCCCTGAGTAAAGCTGGGTGAATGGCAGGGGTGTGACACCGGCTGGAGCAGGAGGAGGTGGCAGCCATCGTGGGCACACTGACCGACTGGCAGCCCTTCCCCAAGCACACCACACACTTCGGGGACAGAGCAGGGTGCTCCCTTGATTATATTAAATAAAGGAAGCAGCCCCATCACCAGCTGGAGAAACCCCGGACTCAAAGCCCCTAGGGCCACCCAGTTCAGTCTCCACAGGGCAGTGAGTGGGGCTGGGAGACAGCGCAGCCGTAGGGCCCCGAGGAGCCGCTCCCCTCCATCTGGGGAAGGGAGAACAGCTCCAGAGGCCTCCTCACCTCCTTTTCTGTGAATGTCTTGCTTGGAGGAGACAACATTCTTATATTCTTTAAAGAACATTCTTTTCTTCTAAATAGACAACTTTTAAATGGAGATGGGGTTTCACTATGCTGCCCAGGCTGGCATTGAACTCCTGGGCTCAAGCAATCTGCCTGCTTTGGCCTCCCAAAGTACTAGGATTATGTGTGTGAGCCACCACACCAGGCTTGAATACACAACTTTTACATTGGATTTTAAAGTCATTTTAAGTTATGTTAGTTGGCTGGGTGCAGTGGCTTACGCCTGTAATCCCAGCACTTTGGGAGGCCAAGGCAGGTGGATTGCCTGAGGTTAGGAGTTTAAGACTAGCCTGGCCAACATGGTGAAAACCCATCTCTACTAAAAATACAAAAATTTGCCGGGCATGGTGGTAGATGCCTGTAATCCCAGCTACTCAGGACACTGAGGCAGAAGAATCGCTTGAACACGCGAGGTGGAGGTTGCAGTGAGCCGAGATCTCACCACTGCACTCCAGCCTGGGCGACAGAGCCAGACTCAGTCTCAAAATAAATAAATGAACAAACAAATAAATTATATTAGTCATACATGAATACATTTTCCTTAAAAAAATGAAGATGTTACAGGACTGGGTGCGGTGACTCACGCCTGTAATCCCAGCACTTCGGGAGGCCAAGGCGGGTAGATCACAAGGTTAAGAGATCGAGACCATCCTGGCTAACACAGTGAAACCCCGTCTCTACTAAAAATACAAAAAATTAGCCAGGCATGGTGGCGGGTGCCTGTAGTCCCACCTACTAGGGAGGCTGAGGCAGAATGGCGTGAACCTGGGAGGCGGAGCTTGCAGTGAGCTAAGATCGCGCCACTGCACTCCAGCCTGGGCAATAGAGCAAGACTCTGTCTCAAAAACAAAACAAAACAAAACAAAACAAAAATGAAGACGTTATAGAGGCTAAAATACTCTGACCTGGCCACTCCCCTCTTCAGCCAACTGAATCCTGTTTCCACTTGCATGCCCCTCTGCACCTGGTTCTGTGCATGGCTGTGTGTGTGCACTCGGGGAGTCAGGCCCTCTGTTCTCACAGAAACGGGGCTCTGTCACACGCATCCCTCTGAATCTTGTTTTTTTTTTTTCCTGACATTCAACAAATCCTCCTGGTGCTCTGTCCCTGCTGGCGCCTGTGAATCCACACTATTTCTCACAGTCTCTCCATCCAGTCTCTCCTATTGATAGACACTTTTTGTTTTTTGAGACAGAATCTCATTCTTGTAGCCCAGGCTGGAGTGCAGGGGCATGATCTCGGCTCTCTGCAACCTCTGCCTCCTGGGTTCAAGCGATTCTCCTGCCTCAGCCTCCTGAGTAGCTGGGATTACAGGCACATCACCACACCCGGCTAATTTTTTGTATTTTTAGTACAGACGGGGCTTCACCATGTTGGCCAGGCTGGTTTCAAACTCCTGACTTCAGGTGATCCACCCGCCTCGGCCTCCCAAAGTGCTGGGATTACAGGCATGAGGCACTGCGCCCGGCCAATAGACCCTTTTAAAATTTTTTTTTTTTTTTTTTTAGCTATCCTCTAAAACCTATCACTGTGGCCTACTGACACATACTTCAGTTGTAGCCCATTTTTGTGATTCTGGTCAATCCTATAATCAAAATCCTTGGCCAGGTCTCCTCAGGCACATCTGCAAATGTTTCTTGAAGGCAGGTGATGACAAGTAGATGTGGTAGGGTGCAGCCACTCTGGTGGACAATTTGCCATATGATAATGAATACTGCATATACCCTAGGATCTAGAATTCCTAGTTTAAATTAACGTTAGCCAGGTGCGGTGGCTGAGGCCTGTAATCCCAACACTTTAGGAGGCCGAGGCAGAAGGATCGCATGAGCCTGGGCAACTTCGTGAGACCCCATCTTACCAAAACTAAAAGAAAATTAGCTGGGTGTGGTGGCACGTGCCTGTGGTCCCGGGTGCTCAGGAGGTTGAGGTGGGAGCATTCCCTGAGCCAGGGATCGCCTGAGCCGAATGCTGCAGTGAGCCATGATCCTGCCACTGCACGCCAGCCTGGGCAGCAGAGTGAGTCCCTGTCTCAAGAAAAAAAAAAAAAAACCCACAGACACGCTCACAGAGCACCAGAACAACAAAAATATGGAGCCCTTTCCTTACGAAAGTACCCACTACTTACAGGCATTTGTTAAGGATTTACTTTGTGCCATCCCAGGTGCAGAACCAGGCTCTCACCATCTACTTTAAACACGTAATGATTATACAATCGTTCTACATTCTGTATCTGTGACATAGTTCGGAGGAGACAGCTTTTTTCTTTAGAGATGTATGGTTTTTTTGTATATTCTGAACAGAACACTTTGCTGTTTTGATCCATAATATCCTTCCCCTCCCCCATGACAGTGATCTGGGTGCTCCTAGTCCCATGGGTTTTGATTCCGTCACTTCTAATTTTACATGATCAAATCCATTAATCACGTCGTTCATGTTATTTTATTATTTGTGTTCAATAATCTCAAAATCGTATCCCTTTCGGTTTTCTTGCAGCATTTCCCGCTTTAGGAGGAGTACTGCGCTACCTACAGTTGATCGCCACGGCATTACCATTCCAAAAGGCAACGTCTTCCCTCCTTCCATTTCATTCCACTTTTTACATATCATCACATAGTACCTGGGGGGTCTGGATCTATCTGAAGGACTTTATCGCTGCCCTGGCTCCCTGATTTACCTCTGTAGCACTTGTTTTTTTTTTTTGTCGCCCAGGCTGGAGGGCAGTGGCACCATCTCAGCTCACTGCAACCTCTGCCATACAGGTTCAAGCGATTCTTGTGCCTCAGCCTTCTGAGTAGCCAGGACTACAGGAGCAGGCTGCCATACCCGGCTTCTTTGTATTTTTAGTAGAGACAGGGTTTTACCACGTTGGCCAGGCTGGTCTCAAACTCCTGACCTCAAGTGATCCACCTGCCTCAGCCTCCCAAAGTGCTGGGAGCACTTGTTGAGCTTAATGTATTTTCTCAGGTGTGAGGGAGAAGTTGCCCATTGTGACGGGTTTTTCCTACAGTGTCTTGCTTGGCCTCTGTGGTGAGCCTGCTGACCCCCCTCCCCGTGGCATCCCCAGGTGTCAGTGGAGAAGGGTTTGGGGGTCCGCAGTCGCCTCCCGCCTGCTACTCTTCATGAGTGAGTGCTACAGGGAAGGGCGTCCCCGCTGTGGCTGTCTCCCGTAACTAGCGTCTAGGGAAAGGCTCTGCCCTGCACAGCCCATACTCACCCAACTGGCCTCGGGCCTTTTCTCTGCCAGAGTCCGAACAAAATCTGTGCCCTGTGGTAAGCAGATTGAGACATGAAGACGGCCTTCGGTGTAGCCCACAGCAGGGCTGGCTGGTAGATGCCCCGAGGACCCTCCCCACGCCCCGTCCCTGAAGCGCCAGGAGCTTACGCGGCTGGGATCAAGGAGCTGCTCTATCTGCCGGTCCTTCCTGCTGTTTTCCTCCTCCAGGCGCCGGAGCTTTGTTCTCATTAGGTCCACATCGCTCTTCTGCACGTGCAATGACTGAAGAAAAGAAGGGCCATGCACGGCCATCCACACACCGCTGCGCACACGCCGCACACACGCCGTGCGCACGTCCTCGCACGCACAGCTAAGCACACGCTGCTGCGCACACTCCGCACACACGTCCCCAGGCAGCCAAGCACATGCCGCACACACGTCCCCGGGCAGCCAAGCACATGCCGCACACGTCCCTGCACAGCCAAGCACACCACACCATGCACACGCTGCACACAGGTCCCCCCACGCACAGCCACGCACACGCCGCTGCGCACATGCCACACACGCCCCCGCGTACACTGCCATGCACACACCACTACACACACACCGCACACAGCCATGCACACCACACCACGCACAGGCCCAGGGAAGCACTGAGCTGGGAGATTTGGAAAGCTGCCTGGCACGGTGTGTGGTGGGTGGGGAGAGATCTGGATGTCACATGAGGGCACCGGCGGGCACGCCTGGCATTTAGTGGGTGGGGACGGGGAAAGCTGGATGGGCAGGAAGCCCCCACAGAGAAGAACTGTCCCACCCAAGATACCAACGGCACCCGTGCTGAGAAACCCCGTCCCACGGAATGCACGGGAAAGGAATGCCGCCAACACTGGGGCTGGACGGTGATGCACCATGCATTCTCTCCCATGACCACACAAGAAAGTCCGTTTTGTTCACATTTTTATCAATAAAACTCATCCAAGGCTAATATGCATTTCAAATGCTTATCCTCAGCTACAGCTCAGGTGGAAGGCAGTGCTTCCCAATCTTTATCTGTGGACAAATTCTTTACCAATTTGTGGTGACCTGACGGGGGACAAAAAAGACTGTGTAGTCGGGGCCGGGTGCGGTGGCTTACCCCTGTAATCCCAGCACTTTAAGAGGCCGAGGCGGGTGGATCACGAGGTCAGGAGTTTGAGACCAGCCTGGCCAGCATGGTGAAACCCCATCTCTACAAAAAATACAAAAAATTAGCCGGGCGTGGTGGCAGGTGCCTGTAATCCCAGCTACTCGGGAGGCTGAGGCAGGAGAATCGCTTGAACCTGGGACGGGGTGGGTGCAGTGAGCCAAGACTGCGCCACCGCACTCCAGCCTAGATGAGAGTGAGACTGTCTCAAAAAAAAACAAAAAAACAAAAAAACTATGTAGTCGATTTCTTACAAAACTAAGTTTATTCAATCTCTACAACTATCCTGTACTTTGAAATTATGTTCTTCCTACTATTTTCGTGGTAGATAAAGTCCAGGAAAGAAACAGCATGTAGGCTGGGCTGTGCCACAGCTCACCAACTCCCAGCCTCAGCCTGCATCTAACCGCCAGCCATCCTCCCACATGGCCTTCTTGCAAAAGACTGTGGTGTTCCAGAGACTGGACCTCTGAGCAAAAGACAATCTGGAGTGCGCACCCCGTGGGGGTGGCTCGGCACTTCAGCCACATCCACAGCTGGCAAGATCGCTGAAGACAAACCCACAGATTCAGGAGGCATGACGACAAGCCGGCACTCAGCTTGTGGAGTCAATGAGCGAAGGCCCAGCCATGGAGGAAGATGGGAGCTCTAGTAACAGGACTGCTGCTTCCAGGAGCGTGACCTAGATTCACCCCTCCCAACTCCTCCTGTCAGTTCCACTCAACACCTGCGCTCCATGTGTAACGCAATCTAAGACTGGAAAGGTGGAGGTGGCAGACGGGCCGGGACTTGGGGGGCCAGTGATCGACATGGCAGGGAGCTCCTTCAGTTTTCTTTCTGCCTCATCTGGGCTGGATGCTGGAGAAGCCAACAGCCTAAAAACGCCAGTGGGTGCAGACAATAAAAGCCCACGCAAAGCCTCTTCTCTCCAGCCAGAAGACAAGGAAAGGAACAGACCAACAAGGCAGAAACCGACAGGCAGGAGCCACTCTACCCTAGGCAGACCACGGAAAACGCCACAGTCCTCCCCACAGCACAGGCTACGTGGGGAGCCCGGACACTCACCCTTGTCCGGCTGCACCCAGGCCCCTCCCCTCCTGCACTGGTGGGGCTCCAGAGAAGGCCGTGCAGAGTCGGGACCACCATCGCCTGGCGGCAACAAGGCCACCCCTGCATCGGCGAAGGCTGAGCGGAAGCAGTACAGGTGGCCCTTCCCTCCCAGCCAGGGCGGTGGCAGCAGAGGCTGAGTGAGGAGCCCAAACTCCCGCCCTGCCCAGCGGGAATGAGGAGCCCCTCCGAGAGCAGGGGTTGATGACGGCTGAGTGGGAACTGGACCTCCACCCTCGCGGGTGGTAGTGAGGCGGTGCTCCCTTGACCCACAGGGCAGCGTGAGAGGAGGCCTGCCACAGCACAGGATTGAGCAAGAGTCAGAGTTTCGCGACGAAACACTCCGAGCGTCCTGGTTTCAAGGAAATCACTTTTATACTAAGAACCAAGAATAGCTCAACCTGAATGAAGAAAAACAAGCTACAACGTCAACACTGAGATGGCCTGGACATTAGAATCCCACTGTGTCCAGACTTACGGCAGCCGCCACAAAGATGCGCCAGTGACCGACGACAGACACGCTTGAAACAAGTGAAGAGGCAGGGCGGGCGTCTCAGTGAAGACCAAGACAGAAGGGGCCGCATGGAGATTTCAGAACGGAACAGAGACAGTAAGGTTACACCCAACAACGGGCTCAACGGCAGGATGCAGAGGCCAGCGGAAAGCATCCGTGAGCTGGAGGGCCGAACAATGAAGCTATCCAATCTTCATGAAGGAAGACTGAACAGAGACCAGGGACCTGAGCAGCTGTCACCAAAGAGGGCAAGGCTGAAAAAACAACTCAAGACTTGATGGCTGAAAATGTCCCAGATCTGACAAAAGACAAACCTACAGATTCAAGAGGCTGAGAAAATCCCAAACGAGATAACCCCCCAGTCCACACCGAGTTCATTCAGCTCATTCCAACCAGAATGAGGATCACGTCCGTGACATCCTCAACATGCAGCCGCCGCCTGTGCTCAGAATCTCCAAGGCCAGGGCACGCACCTGCTCCTCAGCGGCACGGCCAGTCAGACAGCTCTCGTGGCAAGAGTGTTCTCACACAGCCTCAAGTCTGACTGTTCTCTACAGCCAACAGAGAAGGTGCTGTCTTTTGTACAATGGCCTACTCCAGGTTCCCCAGTTTCTTCCCAGCTCCCCAGGGGAAATGGCTTCCAGATCCTCTTCTGTGCTCTGGGGGTGAGGCTGCCAATGCCCTATTGCCCTCTGGTGCCCCAGCTGAATGCAGTGTCTCAGACACGCATCAACTGGTGGAGACAGTAGGTCTATAAACAGACTAAAATTATGGAAGGAAATGAACACAGATGACTTCTCCAGGGCAAACATTTATGGATATTGAGAGCCAGCGGGATGGTAACGGTGCTGGTGGCAGTGACAATGATGATATAGCTCAATGCAGTTCATGCTTTCATGAATGGGAGGGGCCATGGGGTAATATAGAGTCTTGGCCTTGGGAGGCAGGTGACCTTGAATCTTGCTTCTGCTACTGGTTGACCTTGGACAGACTACTAACGTCGCTGAGTCTCAAGTCCATCAGCAGACGGTGGTTGTAACAAGTGGCCCTGCCTGTCCCACAGAGCTTCTGTAGAGGGCAACTGAGATAGGGCACATGAGATGTCTTGATAACATAAAGCATGGCATACATGGAAGGTTATTGATAACTCTACCAGTGGCCTTATCACAGTACCCAATCTCAGGACACAAGGGGACTCTGAAGTTTATCTAGTCCTCATCCAGTCTTCCCCATCATGCTGGAGAAGCAGAACACAGACGGAACATGAGCTCTGCTGCCTTTTACGTGCTGGTGCTATGGCCTTTAACCAGGAACACCAGCTCCTAGGATACTACGCCACGGCTCAAACTCAGGTTCAACCCCAATGCTGCTGCTCTTCCCATCTGGGCACCTCCCAGCACAGGCACTGATGTTCTAATAGATTGTTATAGGAAGCTTTCACTGTTTCAAATCAATAGAGAACAAACCGAAATACTACCTTCTTTAACTCAATAATCTCGTCATACATGTCTTCCTTCTCTCTGTAGACAGGAGTCCCAGGGACATGACCTAGAGAAAGATAGACAAATCTTTTCAAAGACTATCTAAAAAGTAGAAAGAATTATTGGCTACACTTTAAGGAAAATCTGGAAGTTAATAACATTTCCTTCTAAAAAAGAAAAAAATAAAAAAGCAAAAATAATTCCACGTTTTTTGGCCTGATCATGATACTTCCCCAAGTAGCAAGAAAACTAAAAATGGTAGATATAGAGAGATGAAGCAAAAAGGAAATAAATAAAGATGTGAAGACCAAGTTTAACGACAGTAAAAGGATGAAAGAAGGGACTCATGGAAGGAGGAGGGACATGTTCAGATTTAAATAGCAAAACAAACAAATACCAAACACAAAAAATGCACAGAGCATCTCAGCGCCCATTCCAATGTAAAAACAGTCATGTTTACTTTGGTTTTAATGATACCTAGTATATTAAACATCTAAATTTTAGCCTAAAAGATAACTCCTAACCAGTAAAAGCAGGAAGGTAATCAATTCCTGGGGTACAGTGAGGAGGTTTTCAATACACCCTGGGAGCTGTTCTTCCTTAAGGAGGATAGGTGGGAAACATGGATAAAGCGAGAGGCCAGGCGTGGTGGCTCACGCCTGTAATCCCAGGACTTTGGGAAGCCAAGGTGGGAGGATCACTTGAGTCCAGGAATTTGAGACCAGCCTGGGCAACATGCGAGATCCCATCTCTAAAAAAAAAAAAAAAAAAAAAAAAAAAAAGACTAGACAGGAACATAAACACAGCAACAAGCTGATTCTCTTTGGTGCAACTTGGACTTTTTATCATTATTTATTTATTATTATTTGTTCCTAATATCATTTACTCAATGAATAAATTTAAGCAGGCCTCTGTGTTTAGGGTGGGAGGCACAAATAACACTTGGCAAGACATCTCTGCACCCACGAGGAAAGCTACCTTCTGGCGCAGGCGGGTTTCGTGAGTCACTGTTCCCACGGCCTCCCAAAACCTCCCACTGACGGAGCTCACACATGAAGCCTGAAATCCCACTCTGACGAAGGACGCCTCCAGCCCAGAGACTGTCCTTTCCTTCCTGTTCTTCCTTGGCCTCGGCCTTGCCACCACTGGCATGCTCACCGTTGCTGGCAGAGCGCCTGAGATGTGGCCTCTTCACTCTGAGGGCGTCTGTCAGACAGTCGGGAGTGCCGCTGGGGACGCCGGTCCACGCATGCTCCCAGGTGAGGGGTGAGTTCAGGGCCTGGGTCAGACTTCCTGGTTTGAATGTGCATGGGTTTAACATGACAGGTACAAACACACACAATGGGAGGTTTTGTTTCTAATCAACTTTCCTGGATTGAAGAAAGCTTAATCACTGGTAGACACCAGCCGTCAGTGGTGTGCTGGTAAATGGTTAATAACCGGCTCCCAAATATACATTAATAAAGTCCTGATTACAGTAGTTGCCTATTTCCACAGTAGAAATATTTCTACCATGTCTAATATCAAGTAGCCAGCATGGCACTGACCAGCCCACCAAACTCCTAAGACTGTAACAGTTGGCTCTGGCAAGACGGCTGGAACCGGCTCCAACTCACCACTCCCACGCAGAGACCACACGGGGCCAAGGGAGGCTAAAGTGCCACTTGGCGAAACCACGTTTGTGCATGACATAAAAAAATATTCAGTGTCTTGGAGAAAATTAAAGACAATATAATTCAAACAAGGAATATTAAAAACTCCATCTCAAACCCCTCCCTGAAATTTCTTGAACTCTTCTCTGAAGCAGGAAGGGCCTCCAGTGTGGCAACCACATACCTGGTTTTGCAGTTCCCAGCCACAGCTTCTGCGGGGTCAGGGACGCTCGGCCGCCCAGAGGCATGCTCCCTGCCGTCCTGAGGGACCTCCAGGAGGCCACTTTTCTTGGCTTAGAGAGATAAGGTGACTCTAGAAAAGCCAACACATGGATTCAGAGGTGCCCGAGAGCAACGCGTGAGCTCAACACACGAGCTTCAGAAAGACAGAAGGGGAAAATAAAACATCCGCGAGGGCGGGGACTCTAGTCAAACATTCCGGCAAAAATTCAAAAAGAGTTACTTTACCTACACGCTGACATTTCTCCTCCAACTTTTATTATAAAGAAACAGTATAGGCCGGGCGCGGTGGCTCAAGCCTGTAATCCCAGCACTTTGGGAGGCCGAGACGGGCGGATCACGAGGTCAGGAGATCGAGACCATTCTGGCTAACACAATGAAACCCCGTCTCTACTAAAAATACAAAAAAATTAGCCGGGCGAGGTGGCGGGCGCCTGTAGTCCCAGCTACTCGGGAGGCTGAGGCAGGAGAATGGCGTAAACCCGGGAGGTGGAGCTTGCAGTGAGCCGAGATAGCGCCACTGCACTCCAGCCTGGGCGACAGAGCGAGACTCCGTCTCAAAAAAAAAAAAAAAAAGAAACAGTATAACGGGGCCAGGCATGGTGGCTCATGCCTGTAATACCAATACCTTGGGAGGCTAAGGCAGGAGGATCACTTGAGACGAGGAATTCAAGACCAGCCTGGGCAACACAACAAGACCCTGTCTCTACAAAAAATCTAAAAATCAGCTAAGTGCGGTGGCTCACACCTGTGGTCCCAGCTACTCAAGGGGGCTACGGCAGGAGGATCTCTTGAGCCCAGGAGGCTACAGTGAGCTGTGATCACACTACTGCATTCCAGCCTGAGTAACAGGCTTTTCTTTCTCGAAAGAAAGAAAAGAAAAGAGAAAAGAACAGAACGTAATGGGAAGAATATAACGGGAAATATATGAATTCTACCAATATTTATTATAGTATTTAATTTCTTACCCCCAATTTTTAGAGAGATATATATGTTTTTACATAGTCACAATCATAGTGAACATACAATTTTGTATCCTTTTTATTTAACATTGTAAATGTTTAATGTCATTACATAGTAACAAAGCAATATTTAGAACTTAATATGTAAAATATCTAAAAGAAATGAGAAAAATTATACTTTTTCAGAGCATTCTTGATTTTGTATGAAAGTAAGGGAAATGTTTTAAAATCTTTATCTGAGATTTTACCTCTTTAAGTATAAAAAAATAATAAACACTTGCAAAAACTAAGGCACTCTTAAAACATTCTTATATATCTTAAATTGCAAAATTTATGTCAGTAGGTTCTGAAAATTTAAGTCTAATATGTTCAAAATGTTTAAATTTCTACGTTTTTCCCGTGGTTTCACAATGTATGGGAAATTTGCCACTGTAACTCTGAATGAGGGAATAAAGGCGCAGGGACCCTGATGCGTCTTCACTCACCCCAGGACCACAGAACCTCGCCTCCGAGATATTCTCAAGTTCTTCCAAAATGTAAAGATTTAAGTTGTCATTTATACAAGTAAATGAGTGAGCGGAAAAAAGCCCCACGCATTACCTTTCCCTCCTAAGAGCGTGTGGGTTTATCGGCCAGTAGGAAGGGTTCCTCAGGAAAGCACGTATGCACGCGGATAAAAGCGGGGAGGGAGGAAGAGAAGACGGCGACAGGGTGGTGGAGACATGCCAACGTTTGATACTGCCCGGAAAACGACAAACTCAGAAAGCACAAAAACATCATCGCCTGCCTCGCCCTCCTCGCAGGGTGACCAGGACGATGCAAAGCCTCGGAACGTGGTGGAAGCTGCCAACCCAGAAGCAGATTGACCAGGCCTTCAAGAAAAACACTGGCAGAGTGAACACGACAGACATGGTCCCTACACTCACGGCACCGGAAACCTGGAGAAAAACAGGCCCCAAGTGTGAGTCAGGAGGCACCCCTGGTCCTGGCCTTTTACTTTATATCAATTCTCAATTTTCTCCATGGAAGGAGAGAAAGAACATCAAAAATCCAAAATGCTAGGTGATTTCCTTCTAGTGTTCATACTGATTTGCAACATATAACATGCATTCTTTTCTTTGCAGGGATTTACCTTTCTAATTACGGTTTCCTTGGGCCAGTAGGAAAGTTTTTTTATATTCTCTGAGTACGTCATACACTTGACTCAACCTTTGAAATACCTGATACGTGTATATAAAATAGACATCTGCAGATGGCACAGCCAGGGAAGGCCACAGCCTTTGGGGCAGCACAGGACGCCGGCCTAGGATTTACAGGATCACGAACATGTTTGTACGCACGAGGTCGGCACATGGGCTGCTGTACACGAGAGCGGCGTTAGGGACAGAGGGGCCTTGGGGCCACCTGGACTAACCCCATCTCCGCGGCATCCTCCAGACAGGCAGGGGGCAAACACGGCCCTCCTCCCACTGAGGGTGAGGAAGAACAGAACCCTGGCAGCAACACAAGCCCAGGGCGATCCAAAGGGAAAAAAGGTGAACTTTCCACCCATCCTGCACCAACTACACCTTCTCAGTAGCTTTGACTCTCAGGAACAAATCCCAGGTCAAAAATCCTTTAACTCTGGCAGCATTCAGAAGAGGTAAGCCTTTGAGAAGGCAAGAAAAAGAAAACGAAAGGCCTAGAGGCCCTGTCGGAGGAAGGCTGGGGTGTGGATGGCAGCCTCAGCCCTGAGAAAGGGCTCATCACTGGCACCGGCAGGGACTCCACGTGTTCCTGAGACCCCAGCGTGAACCCCAACATGAATGGGGGAGACCCCAGCGCAAACTGGGAGACCCCAGAGGGAATGGGGCCACCTGGCTGAGGCGTCAGGTCTCAGCTACCTAAATGTACAAAGCAAACACCCTTCCTTCTCTCCAGGACACCAGGGAACGTGGGCATGAGAGGGAAGGCAGGCCGGTCATACTTACTTGGCGATGTGGGTGGAGGTTTGTGGAAAGCTTTCCTTTTTGCTTTCTGAAAGAAAGAAGAAATGGCGTAAGGCTTGCTGAGCTCCCACAATGGTGCGTCACAAGACCCTGCCATGTTCAGAAACGGTCAGGGGTCGTGTAAGAGCAGCAAGAGGACATTAGCTCACGGGGATGTAAGGAGGGTCCAGGCACAGGACATGCAGGGCCCGACGCAGACCCCAGAAAAATGCACTCACATCAGTGCTCGGGGCTGGGCTCTCAGAGCACAAGTTCCAATGACAGAAAACCACTGGGCCTGGGCTCCTGACATTCAGACTGAGGGTCCCACACAAATGGCATATCTGCCCCTGCCCAAACTGCCCGCACAGCCAGCCCGGAAGCCCCAGCGTGCACCTCTGTCCACTCGGGTGGAGGTGGTGAGATGAAATCCCTGCATGTAAGTCAACTGCAAAGCCCACTAAGGAAGAAGGCCCAGCAAAGGCAGACCCTGTCTGGAAGGTGGTTTCCTGTGACACACATAGAACGGGGTCCAGATCTGGTTCCACTGCTTACTACCGGGTGAGTATCCCGTATCTGAAATGCTTGGGACCAAGAGTGTTTCAGATTTGGGAATATTTACATCCATATAATGAGGTATGGGGATGGGACCCAAGTCTAAACACAAAATTCATTTATATTTCATGTATACCTTATACCCATAGCGCAAAACTAACTTTAGATTGTGTTTTTAATAACTTTGGGCATGAAACAAAGCTTGTGTGAAGTAACTGAAGTGTGGAATTTCCCACTTGTGGCCTCATGAGGGTGCTCAAAAAGTTTCCATTTTTGAAGCATTTTGGATTTCGGATTAGAGACACTCAACCTCTCGTGCCATGGCCTGGGGAAGATGCTGCCACACTTCCAACCTTAACTTCCTTATCACCTTGCACTAGACCGAGCAGGTAAGCGTACCGCGGCCAGGTCTCTTCACTTCCCCTCCAGCAGAAACAGTGAGCCCAGGCTCTGTGCGGGGGCAATTTTCCCTGGGGCTTGGTCTGGATCCCTCCTCCTCCGGGGAGCATCAGGGGAGCATCCCCTGCCTTCGGTGACATGGAGTGAAAATCCTTGACTTTGCAGACAGAGGTTCCTGGAGGGAGACAGTGGAGCTGAGGCTCCCCCTTGAGTCCACAGAGCAAACGTGGAATTGAGATCGGCTGGCACCGGGTTCGTTCTGCCGGCTGCAGTTTTGCTAGATCTGCATCTGCAGTAACAAAACGGCTGCAGTTCTGCTAGATCTGCGTCTGCAGTAACAAAAGCTTTTTTTTGCTCATACGGGAACAATCGGCACGCTTCCTTTTCTACCCTGCACAGCTTGCCAAACAAACCCAAAGTCCAGGCCGGGGCCACAGTGTGCCACTGGGCCATCAGACACCACTCCTGCCCCTCTCCTTTCCAGGCTGGGAGGCCAGGCAGCGGCTCAGCTTGGGATGGTGGCTGCCCAGGTCTGCTTTCTCCCATCAGGTCCTTCCAACAGATTAGCAGGGGCTCTCCTCCTCCCCTCAAGTGTCAGGATGGGGGTGTGGGGGGCAGGGCAAAACCAGCTGCAGGCCAGGGACCAGCAATCCACCTCACGTGAGCCCTGCTCAAGATTCACTTCCGGATAAAAGTTGTAAAGTTATCACCACAGGTATTTAAACCCAACGAAGGGCTGGAAACTTTTCAAACACCAAGTAGCATTTGGAATATGCATTCCAGCTCTCAACACAGTATTGTGGAGAATGGCCCATTTTACCAGTCTGAGTGAAATCTGCAAGGGCAGCACCACCAGCCCTGGGGCGCACGGCTGATGCCCGGCGGCACTCACCGTCTCCACGTCAGAGTCAAAGGTGACTGCAGACAGACTGTCATCTCCCTGGAGGAAGAGAGGCAAACACTGTAACTCGACGGCACCTGCTGGGCTTCCAACAGTCACGTTTACAAAAGTGAAAACAGCCCGTCCACAGCTGCGGAAACAGAAACTCCAGAAATCCAGCTCCAAGGCCACTCGGAACACTCCAGCTGGGCAGCGGCCAGTTCCTCGGTCTCATCAGAAGGAATGGGTGGGTGGGGGGAAGAAACACAGAACGCCACCCAGAAGGCGTGCAAATGTCTACAAATCCAGGAACACTATTTCCCACAGAATTGTGTCTTGACAAAGAAAAAAAAAAAAAAAAAAAACCAGTTCTTGCCGAAAGCATTTCATTTTCACATACATGTTCTCACTCTTATTCATCTTTACATCAAAGCACAACAAATCTGTGACTGTCTCCTGGTAAGAACTGGTCAGAGTCATCTTTTAAAAAGCAAACTCGGCCTGGGCAACATGGCGAGACACTCTCTACAAAAAAATCTTGGCCGGGCGCGGTGGCTCACGCCTGTAATCCCAGCACTTTGGGAGGCCGAGGCGGGCGGATCACAAGGTCAGGAGATCGAGACCACGGTGAAACCCCGTCTCTACTAAAAATACAAAAAATTAGCCGGGCGCGGTGGCGGGCGCCTGTAGTCCCAGCTACTCAGGAGGCTGAGGCAGGAGAATGGCGTAAACCCAGGAGGTGGAGCTTGCAGTGAGCCGAGATCACGCCACTGCACTCCAGCCTGGGCGACAGAGCGAGACTCCGTCTCAAAAAACAAAAAACAAAAAACAAAACAAAACAAAAAAAACAAAAAAATCTTAAAAATTTAAAAAATAAGCCAGGCTGTGGTTGCACACACCTGTAGTCCCAGCTACTTGGGAGGCTGAGGTGAGACAATTGCTTGAGCCCAGGAAGTCGAGGTTGCAGTGAGCCATGACCACGCCTACAGCCTTGGCAACAGAGCAAGACCCCAGCTCAAAAAAAAAAAAAAAAAACAAAAAAACCCCCAAACCAACAAAAACAAAAACATATGCATTACAACGAGAAGGCATTTGGGCCTATAAAGGTTCTTGCCTTCTTATTCCAGTGACTTTGTCCTGGCCCAGGGAATGAAATAAAATTTGCACTGTCTGATGTCAGCACTAAGATGGCAAAAAAAAAAAAAAACCGGAAGCTTTTTGAAGACAAAAATGTTTCTGTATTAACTTACTCACTCAAATTGAAATCCAAAAAGAGAAAGCATAACATGTTTAATCGGCTGGGCACGGTGGCTCACGCCTGTAATCCCAGCACTTTAGGAGGCCGAGGCGGGCGGATTACGAGACCATCCTGGCTAACACAGTGAAACCCCGTCTCTACTAAAGAATACAAAAAATTAGCTGGGCGTGGTGGCGGGCGCCTATAGTCCCAGCTACTCGGGAGGCTGAGGCAGGAGAATGGTGTGAACCCAGGAGGCGGAGGTTGCAGTGAGCCGAGATTGTGCCACTGTAGTCCAGCCTGGGCGACAGAGCAAGACTCCATCTCAAAAAAAAAAAAAAAAAAGTTTAAACTCCCTCGGAAGATTGTATGGTGCTTTCCGATGCGGACACTGGAAGTTAGAGCTGAATACCCTATTATGAACCAATAGTGCTACAGCTCAGGGAGGAGGCGATGACATTTCTGCCACCTGTCGCTGGTATAGCTGAGTCCGCGTAGTATCATAATGGGATGCTACTGCATTCTGAAAAGCAAACATATTTTCTACAAGGTTAATAGTACATGAAGTGCCAATTTTGCTAGCAGTGTGAAACTATGAGAAATATCTGGCTGCATGAATACACGGATAAGGTGCAGCTGCAGTGATCCAGTGCCCTGAACACAGACAGGCCAGGGCACAAGTGCAGTGTGACTGCATTTCGAGGGGCAAAGGGAAGATGGTGCATTCCAAATAAATGGAATCTTTAAAAAAATCAGTCACTGACTGACATTTTTTATATCATTAAATAGGTGACCTTTTAGGCACAAACAGCACATGACAATTATAGAGAGAAGTTTTCCTTTAGCAAAGTGTATTACAATTATGTACAAAACTGAGGAAGGGCAGGCCGGGAACTGGACACACAGGTTAGCGGGGGATCAGAAAAGCCAAGTCAGCCCTGGGCATCACAAGGATGTGCCTGCAGAGGATGGAGGGGAACCTGCTGAAAACTGTCTAAAAAAGCAGCAGCAACTTTTCTCTGTAAACATCTGTCATTATTCCCTGCTGTGAAGAAAATCTTGAAGACTTTTTGAATGACCTGAAATTCAACGAAGGAATGAGATTTTATGTGTAGTAAACAAAATGCATTGATCTCACCCACAACGGCTGCCCTCTCCACCACCCCCTTCCAGCCGTGCTGCCTCCAGTCTGCCAGTTGTAGTGCAGGGAAGAGGTGAAAAGCAGTCAGGACCAGAAATCACACCACGGCCCAAGGATCCACGACTCCAGTCAGCAGAATACAACCATACACAGCACACACACACACACATGCATGCACACACGCACGCATGCACACACACACGCACCTGAAATGACACAACAGTCCAAGGATCCATGCCTCCAGTCAGCAGAATACAACCATACACAGAACACACACACATGCACGCACGCAAACACGCGCGCACACACACACACACACACCTGAAATCACACAACAGTCCAAGGATCCACACCTCTAATCAGCAGAATACAACCATACACAGAACACACACACATGCACACACGCAAACACGCGCGCACACACACACACACACACACACCTGAAATCACACAACAGTCCAAGGATCCACACCTCTAATCAGCAGAATACAACCATACACAGCACATGCACACACACACACACAAAAAAAACGGCCAATCTGTTCTGCCTCCTTCAAGCACTGTCTGAGGTTGCCACTTATTTCCATGCTAGATTAAGCTCATTCAGCCTGTGTCAGGGTGGCTGTAACAGAAGAAACGGGGTGACTTCACACCGAAATTAAGTGTCTCAGTTTGGGAGGCTGGAAGTCCAGAATCAAGGTGTTGGCAGGGCCAGGTTCCTAACAGACAGAACAGCAAGGCGGAAGATCAACGAGGAGTTAGAAAGACTTGATCAGCAAACACTAAAAACCTAACAGACGTTTACAGAGCACCCCACCAAACAACAGCAGAATACGTACTCTACTCAAGTGTACATTAAACATAAACCAGACAATAGGTCACAAAAAAGCCTCAATGAATTAAAAGAGAAAATCAAAGTATATTCTTTGACAACAAGGAAAATTAGAAATCAACAAAAGAAAGGGATTCACAAATGTAGTGTTTTTTTTTTTTTTAACGGAATCTCGCTCTGTCACCCAGGCTAGAGTGCAGTGGTGTAATCTTGGCTCACTGCCACCTCTACCTCCCAGGTACAAGCGATTCTCTTGCCTCAGCCTCCTGAGTAGCTGGGATTACAGGTGCCGCCATCATACCCAGCTAATTTTTGTATTTTTAGTAGAAATGGGTTTCATTCACTATGTTGGCCAGGCTGATCTCGAACTCCTGACCTCAGGTGATCAGCCCGCCTCAGCCTCCCAAAGTGCTGGGACTATAGGCGAGAGCCACTGTGCCTGGCCTGGATTTTAAACAACAAATTCCTAAACAATCAATGGGTCTAAGAGGAAATCACAAGGGTAATTTAAAAATATCTGAGATGAGTGAATTTTTTTTTTTTTTTTGAGGCCAAGTCTTGCTCTGTTGCCCAGGCTGGGGTACAATGGCATGATCTAGGCTCAACACAACCTCCGCCTCCCAGGTTAAAGCAATTCTCCTGCCTTAGCTTTCTGAGTAGCTGGGACTACAGGCGCACACTACCATGTCCGGCAAATTTTTTTTTTGTATTTTTAGTAGAGATGGGCTTTCACTATGTTGGCCAGGCTGGTCTTGAACTCCTGACCTTGTGATCTGCCCACCTCGGCCTCCCAAAGTGCTGGGATTACAGGCGTGAGCCACTGTGCCCGGCTGATGAGTGAATTTTAAAAATCAAAATTTACAGGTTATATCTAAAGCAGAGCTCAAAGAGAAACACACAGCTGTAAATGTCTATATTTTTAAAAGATCACATCAAATAAATAACCTAATCTTCCACCTTAAAAACAAAAGCAGGGCCGGGTGTGGTGGCTCACGCCTGTAATCTGAAGCCCAGGAGTTCAAAACCAGCCTGGGCAACATGGAGAAACCCTAAATATACACACACACACTACAAAAAATTAGCTGGGCATCATGGCACATGTCTGTGGTCCCAACTACATAGGAGACTGAGGTGGGAGAATCACCTGGGCCCAGGAAGTTGAGGCTGCAGTGAGCCATGATGGCGCCACTGCACTCCAGCCGCAAAGAAACAAAAGCAGGCTGAGCACCGTGGCTCATGCCTGTAATCCCAACACTTTGGGAGGCTGAGGAGAGAGGACTGCTTGAGTCCAGAAGTTCAAAACCAGCCTGGGTGACATAGTGACACCCAGTGTTTACAAACAATTAAAAAATTTGCCAGGCATGATGGCACATGCCTGTAGTCCCAGCTACTTGGGAGGCTGAGGCAGGAGGATCACTCAAGCCCGGGGTTTGAGGCTGCAGGGAGCTGTGATTGTCCCACTGCTCTCTAGCACCAACAACACAGTGAGGTTCTGCCTCTGAAAAACAAAAACAAGTAATCAAAACACAAAAGCTGTGTTTAGAGGGTAATTTGGAACTGTAAATGCCTATATTGAAAAAAAAAAAAAAGAAAGATCTCAAGGCAATAATCCAATAATCTAAACTTCTACCTTTAAAACCAGAAGACAGAAAACTAAACTCAAATGAAGTAAAAGGAATAAAAATTAGTGAATAAATGAAATACAGAATAGAAACAACAGAAAAATCAATGAAGCCAAAAGCTGGTTCTTTGAAAAGATCAACAAAACTGACAAACCTTTAGCCAAGAAAAAAACCCAAAGACACGAAATTATCAAAATACGGGGGGGGGGGGGGGAGAGGGGCCTCACTACTGACCTTATAGAAATAAGGAAAATCCCAGAACCACATGGTCTCACTGGTGAATTCTATCAAACATTTAAAGAGAAATTAACACCAATCCTTCACAAACTCTTCTAAAAAACAGAAAAGAAGGGAACGCTCCCCAATTCATTCTATGAGACCTATATTACCCTGATACCAAAGGCAGACAAAGAAATATCACAAGAAAAGAACACTACAGACCAACACACTTTATGAATACAGTTGCAGAAATCCTCAACAAAATGCTAGTAGGCATGAAAAGGAATATATATATATACACACATACACATATATACACACACACACACATATATATACACACATACACCCTAATTGGTCACGGTATATATGTATGCACGCACACACACACACCACCCCCCAAGACCAAGAACGAAAGATTGGTTTCACATACAAAAATCAGCCAATATAATATACCATATTAATAGAATGAAGAAAAAGAATCATACGATTTTCTAAAAGATATAGAAGGTACATTTGACAAAATCTAACATTCATTCATGATAAAGACACTCAATCATCTATGAAGAGAATTTCCTCAACCTAATAAATGGCATCTACAAAAATCCAGTGCAACATAATATTTAATGGAGGCAGATGGAATGTTTCCCTTCTAATATCAGCAGCAAGACAAGGCTGTCCTTTCTCACCACTTCAATTCAAATTATACTTGAGTCTCTAGCCAGGACATTAATGCGAGAAAAGTAAATAAAAGACATTCAGATTGAAAAGAAAGAAGTAAAACTATCTCTTCACAGATAACATGATTTTATACATAGAAAATCCTAATGAATCTACTAAAAAACTAGTAAACATAATAGATGAGTTCAGCAAGTTTGCAGGATATGAGATTCATATAAAAATATTATTGTATATACGAGCAGTAAATAAGCTGAAATGAAGTTAAGAAAATTCAATATACAATAACATCAAACAACATAAAATGCTTAGGAATAAATTTAACAAAAGCATAGACTTTGTACATTGAAAAATATAAACCATTGTTGAAAGAAATTAAAGATCTACATAGCGCCGGGAGCAAAGGCTCACGCCTGTAATCCCAACACTTCGGGAGGCCAAGGCGGGTGGATCACCTGAGGTCAGGAGTTAGAGACCAGCCTAACCAACATAGTGAAACCCCATCTCTACTAAAAATACAAAAATTAGCCAGGTGTGGTGGTGGGGGCCTGTAGTCCCAGCTACAAGGGAGGCTGAGGCATGAGAATTGCTTGAACGTGGGAGGCAGAGGTTGCAGTGATCCAAGACGGCACCACTGCACTCCAGCCTGGGTAGCAGAGCGAGACTTGGTCTTTTTTTTTTTTTTTTTTTGAGAGGGAGTCTCTGTTGCCAGGCTGGAGTGCAGTGGCGCTATCTCGGCTCACTGCAAGCTCTGCCTCCCGGGTTCACACCATTCTCCTGCCTCAGCCTCCCAAGTAGCTGGGATTACAGGCGCAGGCCACCACACCCGGCTAATTTTTTGTATTTTCAGTAGAGACGGGTTTCACCGTGTTAGCTAAGATGGTCTTGATCTCCTGACCTCGTGATCCGCCCGTCTCGGCCTCCCAAAGTGCTGGGATAACAGGTACGAGCCATCGCGCCCGGCCAAGAGACTCTGTCTTAAAAGAATAATAATAAATAAATAATACGTGTGAATTATTCTTATAATCACAACAAGCAGTTCTGTTCTCAAAGATGAAGAAGCAGTAACTGAAGGCCAGTGTAGACAGGCCCTCCAGATGAGACTGGACGTGGTGCCCTGGGGAAAAAGCAGGCAAATTCAGCTACTCCAAATGGGCCAGCAGCACCAAGCCGCTACTGCAGGTGCACCTATGCTGAGCCCTGTGGTCTCCTTAGGAGGAAGCAAAGTGAGCACAGTTCCCTCGATGGGCTTCCAAAGGCTTCCTCTGTTTCTCCAATAAAATCCAAATTCCCTGCATGGGCAGCAGGATTCCCCATAATCAGACTCATGCCCATCTTCCGTTCACTGCCCTTGCCCGCATCCCAACGGGCTTTCTTTTTTTTTTTTTTGAGACAGGGCCTCACTCTGTCGCCCAGGCTGGAGGGCCATGGTATGATCACAGTTCAGGGTAGCCTCCACCTCCTGGGCTCAAGCGATCCTCTCACCTCAGCCTCCTGAGTAGCTGGGACTACAAGCAGGCACCACCACAGCTCGGCTAATGTGACGGTTTTTTGTAGAGATGGGGTCTTGCTACATTGCCCAGGCTGGTCTGGAACTCTTGACCTCAAGCGATCCTCTCTCCTCGGCTTCCCAGAGTGCAGGGACTACCTGCCTGAGCCACAGCTCCCGGCCATACAGCCTGTTTCATTTTCTGCACAGCACTTCTCACTTTCTGACACGATCTTAATTACCTGTTTATCACCTTGTCCCTCAGACCCCCAACCCCGTGGAATGCAGCTTATTCCGGTGTCTCTAACACACAGTAGGTGTTTACCGGGCAAAGGAACTAACCGAGGGCCCGTGCACCCTCGTCCTGGGGAGTACATCGGGCACCACCCTCCTCCAGGAGGCCTCCTCTGACCAAGCGGGGCTCCCAGACCCTGGGGCTGCCTCCTTCCCACCCCGACGGCTTGGGGCTACACGGGATTCGTGGATCCGGCCTTGGACTGGGGGTGCCCGGAGGCACTTACACCGTGAGCTCCGTCACCGGCGGGCCGCAGACTCACAGGCGCCTAGAGGCGATGGCGCGGCTTCCCGGAAAGCTTCCTGGAAGCGGCGGCCTCTGCGAAGGCGGGCGCGGGCGAGGCTGCAGGCGGCGCGGGGCCTGCAGCGCGCTCTTGTGCGGTAACAATAATGGCAGCTGTCACCCGGCCGTGCGCCCCGTCCTCACGCCCCGGACCGGCCACCGCGCGGGGCCCCAGGGCTGCGGGGGACGCGGACGAGCCGAGGCCTCGCGGACGCCCGCCCGGCGCCGCCCCCTTGCCCGTTCTTACCGTCTCCGAGGCCGGTTCCCCGGTGCCCAGGAACATGGTGGCGGCGCTGCCCGGCCGCCTCTCAGGGCTGCAAGATCGGGCGTCTGGGTCTGGGGCTCCGCGGGCAGCCCTGGCCGCCTGCAGCCTCCAGGCCTTCCCTGGCGCCGGCCCGCGACCCCGCTGCCATGGCAACCAGGCCGCCGACCCGCCCGGCCCGTACGCAACCTGCGCTTCCCCCTGGGGCGACCATGCGCGTGCGCAGAGTCCACGGGCGCCGGCCGGCCGACCAGGAGAGCTCCCGGAGTTCCCGGGGCGGAGCGCTGGGCTGAGATGGGGGGAAAAAACCGGCCGGGAACTGGGGCTCGCGCCTGTTATCCCAACACTTTGGGAGCCTGAGGCGGGAGATTCAACTGAGCCCAGGAGTTTAATACCAGCCTGGGCAATGTAGCGAGACCCCGTCTCTCGAAAAATAATAAAATAAAATAAATAAAATGCCAGGCATGGTGGTGCATCCTATAGTCCTAGTTCCTCGGGAGGCTGAGGTGGGAGGATCGCTTGGAGCCCAGGAGGTCGAGGCTGCAGTGAGCTATGATGGCACCACTGCAGTCTAGCCTGGGCGACAGAGCAAGACCCTACTTCAATCAAACACACATAATAAACTTTTGTTTGTTTTCAGGGTCTCATCCAGGGAGCTTTGCTCTCCGTGCTCCCTGTGCATAAGCTCCTCTTGCCATTCTCCCACTCTTGGGCTTCGCAAACTTCTTGCCCTTCTCTTACCTAATTATAGAGCTGTGCCTATCTATGACCTTTCATTTGTGATTCTGAATTCCATAAACTTCCGAAAGACTTTCACAACTTATTGGAAGGCCAGACCAGTCCTAACCTCAACTCTCTGGGAAGGAAACTCTGAGCTGAGGCTATTTATAGCGTTTATTTATTCCACGGGGTGTACATGAGCGAGTTTCACCGAATAACTTTTTAAATTTTTTTTGACAGGGTCTTGCTCTGTGGCTCAGGCTGGAGTGCAGTGGTGCGATCTCTGATCACTGCAACCTCTGCCTCCTGGATTCAAGCGATTCTCCTGCCTCAGCTCCCCGAGTAGCTGGGACTACAGGTGCATGCCACCACGCCCAGCTAATTTTTGTATTTTTAGTAGAGACGGGGTTTCACCACCTTGGCCAGGGTGGTCTCACTCTCTTGACCTCGTGATTCGCCCACCACTGCCTCCCAAAGTGCTTGGATTACAGGCATGAGCCACTGCACCCGGCCCTGAATAACTATTAATACGTTTAATTATGGGGTGTGTGTCACACCCTGCTGATAATCTCATATTTAATGTACACGTGCCATGTCACATTTCTTTTTTCTTTTTTTTTTTTTTTTTTGAGATGGAGTCTCACTCTGTCCTCCAGGGTGGAGTGCAGTGGCGTGGTCTCGGCTGACTGCAACCTCCACCTCCCAGGTTCACGCCATTTTCCTGCCTCAGCCTCCCGAGTAGCTGAGACTACAGGCGCCCGCCACCACGCCCGGCTAATGTTTTGTATTTTTAGTACAGACAGGGTTTCACCGTGTTAGCCAGGATGGTCTCGATCTCCTGACCTCGTGATCCACCCGCCTCAGCCTCCCAAAGTGCTGGGATTACAGGCGTGAGCCACCAGGCCCGGCTTTTTTTTTTTTTTTTTAATTGTAAGAGATAGGGTCTCGCTTTGTTGCCTAGGTTGGTCTCAACTCCTGGCTTCAAGCAATCGTCCCAACTGCGCCTCCTAAAAGGCTGGGATTACAGGCATGAGCCACAGGGCGGCCGCGGAGGACCTAATTTGAGAACCTTAAGCCAAATAACCAAGGGCTTTGGTGCACAGATCGGGACGCTTCTCTCCGGCACGTGGTTTTCTCGCTCCGGCGGACGCACATACAGGGCGCCCCTGCGGGCGAGGCCCCGCCCCTCCGGACACAACGCCGCGCCTTCCTCAGAGATTCCCCGCCCCCGGGACGCCCCGCACACCCACCGGATGCTCGGCATGTACCATCGGGTGCCTGGCGGGGATGATGAGTCGGAGCGACCGGCTTGGCGCCTGCCTGTCCCTCTCAGCTTGAACGCCTTCCTTCAAGTGTGAGCCCTCGAGGCTTCCAGAGGGGGCTCCAGGAGAGCTGTCTTGGTTCCCCACGCCAGCCGTCTCCGTCCTCCGCCTCCTCCGGGCTTGGCAGGTGGCACAGTCCGGAGGCGGAGCCTTGGGGAAGGGGTGGTTGCGACGGAGGACGGAACCAAGCGGTGAGGCGCGCGGAGCCTGGGGGGTCGCGGTAGCGGTAGCCGGGCGTGGGGAGGCCAAGGCCCGGCCGAGGGGGCGGGAGGGCCAGGGAGCAGCCCAGCCGGGGGTGTACGCGACCTACGCTCGCTTCCCAGCCCGACTGTGGCCGCCTGGTCTGGCACCCTTTCTGGACCCTCGGGCCTGGCTCCCGCGGTCAAAACCGACTCCAAAGTGTTGGGAGGGTTCCTCTTCCCGGGGACGCAGCCTCCCCGGACATGGCAGACGATGCCCTGGTCAGACAGAGCCACTGACCACCCCGCCCACCCCCGAGGCCGGACGCACGGATGCACACCCCGTCCTGGGAGGGACAGGCGCCCCTTCCCCTCTGCACCCCGCCGGGCCCCCCGCACCCCGCCGAACCCCCCTCCCCCCGCCGGCTGCTGGACGTCAGATGCAGCCACCACTAACCCTGGGAGGGACAGACACAAGGACAGGCTCCCCTTCCCCTCTGCACCCTCCTGCTGACTGCAGAACGCCAAATGCAGCCAACACTGACCCTGAGAGGGACAGACACACGGACAGTCGCCCCTTCCCCTCCGCACCCCCCTGCTGGCTTTACGACCTCAAATGCAGCCACCACTTGACTTTGGGAGGGACAGATACTTTCCAGCCCAGATTGGCCCTGGGGCATGGATAGATACCCCCTGCACACATGGCTGACCCCGGAACTCGAAGATGCCCCTGACTCTGGCCGACCTGCAGCCTGGGCCAGCACCACGCTGCTGCCCCTACTGCACCAAAGCCCAAGGATGACAGACTTTCAGCTCTGGAGGCCTTGTGATTTCAGCCAGACTCTCATCTGCCCGTTTCAGCCCCAGCACCAGCGCTCGGGGCCCCACCTAGACCAAAGCTTTGATCCATCCCTGCAGAACAGATCTCTGGTCTGGGGATCATGGTTCTGGTCTGAGATGAAAGTTCTGGGGCCTCTTCCCAGGCCTGAGCAGGCATGGTGGGCTGCTGTGACTAGAACGAGCTGGGTCTGCAGTGGGCATTGAGGTTTGGGTCTCACATTGCCTTTGCAGGGACTGCGGCCTCACCATGGACCCGGAATGCTCCCGGCTGCTCCCTGCTCTCTGTGCTGTTCTGGTAGATCCCAGGCAGCCGGTGGCAGATGACACCTGTTTGGAGAAGCTGCTGGACTGGTTTAAAACTGTCACTGAAGGAGGTAAGAAGCTGGTGCTGCTGTTTACTGTCTATCCAGAGACCAGACGCAGAGCCTGGGACAGGGAGCAGGGACCGGGTGGGGACTCCCCTGTCCTGGAAGAAGGGCAGAAACTGCAAATCAGATGTCTTTCCTTCACTTCGTAGAGATTATCTGTGGCAGACTGAGGGCAAGTCAAGATGAAGCCCGAGAGAATTATCTGGAGAGTTAGAGCTTGAAAGTCAGCCAGTTCAGCCACGATCAGGGCATCCCAAGGTTCAGTTCTGTGGAAGGCGTGAACAAACTTATTTTATTGTTGTTCTCATTGTATTTAGTGTGTTTAAAACATCAGGTTTGTTTTCTTTCTGATTATGAAAGTAGGGGCTGGATGCAGTGGCTCACACCTGTAATCCCGGCACTTTGGGAGGCTGAGGTGAGCGGATTGCTTAAGTCCAGGAGTTCGAGACCAGCCTGGTCCTACATAGCGAGACCTCATCTCAAAAAAAAAATAACAAAAATTAGCTGGGCCTGGTGGCGCACCTGTAGTCCCAGCTACTCTGGAGGCTGAGATGGGAGGATCCTTTGAACCCGGGAGGTAGAGGTTGCAGTGAGCTATGATTGTGCCACTGCACTCTGACCTGGGTGATAGAGACCCTGTCTCAAAAAAAAAAAAAAAAAGTAATTCATGTTCTTTAAAACATGAACAAAAGAGTAAAGAGGAAAATTAAACCATTAACCTTTTAATTTCCTCCCAGCCTTTTTCATAACACATCATAAAGCTGTATTTTTCTGGGAAAAAAATGAGGTCATACCGTAAATATAATTTTGGTGTCTTGCTTTCTCTCTTGCCATCATAGTGAGTGTTTTCTCCATGTAATACGTTAATGTTATTGACTACATGTTATTTGCTGTAGGAGTGGACCATTAATTCATCGAATCACTCTACTGTTATTATTAGATGTTTATATTTCTCATTTTTCATCATTTTAAGTAGTGTCATAGGTCCGACATGGTGGCTCACGCCCGTAATCCCATCACTTTAGGAGGCCAAGGCAGGTAGGTCATTTGAAGTCAGGAGTTCAAGACCAGCCTGGCCAACATGGTGAGACCTTGTCTCCACTAAAAATACAAAAATTAGCCAGGCATGGTGGCATGCGCTGTAATCCCAGCTACCCGGGAGGCTGAGGGGAGAATGGCTTGAACCCAGGAGGCGGAGGTTGCAGTGAGCTGAGATCGCACCGCTGCACTCCAGCCTGAGCGACTGAGAATGGACTCCTTCTCAAAACAAATAGTGTCATCATGGCTTTCCTTTTACATAAATATTCTTGCGTGGAAATGTTTATTCTCATGGTCGATCATTGTGTTGGGATAGACTGCATGTTTTTAATTTCTGCTATTCTTTGCTTCCTTTTTTTGGTTTACCCTGTTCTTTTACTCGTTTTATTTTTAAATTCTGTTGTAATTTTTTTTTTTTTTTTTAGGATGGGGTCTCACTGTATTGTCCAAGCTGTTTTCGATCTCCTGGGCTCAGGCAGTCACCTGCCTCTGCTTCCCAAAGTGCCGTTTACCCTCTTTTGAGCTAAATATCTGGGTCTTCCTTGTTTTCTAATACATACATTTAAGGCCAGGTGCGGTGGTTCATGCCTATAATCCCAGCACTTTGGTAGGCTGAGGCAGGTAGATCACTTGAGGTCAGGAGTTGGAAACCAGCCTGGCTAACATGGTGAAACCCCATCTCTACTAAAAATACAAGAATTAGCCTGACATGGTGGTCCATGCCTGTAATCCCAGCTACTCGGGAAGCTGAAGCAGGAGAATCACTTGAACCTGGGAGGTAGAGGTTGCAGTGAGCTGAGATAATGCCACTGCACTCCAGCCTGGGCAATGGAGTGAGACTCTGTCTCAAAAAAAAAAAAATATATATATATGTGTGTGTGTATATATATGTGTGTATATATGTGTATGTATATATGCGTGTATACGTACTTAAGAGTGCGTTTCTCTAAAAGTATGACTTTAGCTCCATCTTACCAGTTTTACTATGCAGTACTTTGGTTGTAATTTAGTTCTAAGTATTTCATGCTTTTCATTCTGATTTTTTTTCCACCCACAAGTTATTTAAAAGAATATCATTTAGTTTCAAAATGTGGATTTCTCCAGTCTTTTTATTATTGATTTTTAATTTATTTTATGGAGGTTAGAAAATACATGTTTTGAGTCTTTATAGCTATTGAGACTTTTATTGAGACATAGGACCCAGGCGAGTTTTCTCCGTGTTCTAGAGATTTCACTGTATGAGTTTGATGTTTTGGTATTTGAAGGTCTTCAACTGTGGCCTAGTTTGTAGTCAGTTTTTCTTTACTTTCTTTTTCTTTCTTTTTTTTTTTTGAGCCAGGGTTTTTCCGTCACCCAGGCTGGAGTGCAATGGTGTGATCACAGGCCACTGCGGGCTCGACCTCCTGGGCTCAAGCAGTCTGCCTGCCTCATTCTCTTGAGTTGCTGGGATCACAAGTGTGTACCAGGCCCAGCTTTTTTTTTTTTTTTCCCTCATAGAAGATGAGGTCTCACCATCTTGCCCAGGCGGCTTGGAACTCCTGGGTTCAAGCAGTCTTCTCGCCTGGGCTTGCCAAACTGCTGGGATTACAGGAGTGGGCCACCATGCCCGGCCTGTATTCAAATTTTAAGAAGTATTTTTCATTAGCTTTATTGAGATATAATTTGCATACCCTGCAATTCACCCACTTAACGTGTATCCTTCTGTAGTTTGTAAGCATGATTTTTTTTTTTTTTTTTTTCAAGACCAAGTCTTGCTCTGTTGCCCAGACTGGGGTACAGTGGCACGATCTCGGCTCACTGCAACCTCCGCTTCCTGGGTTCAAACGATCCTCCTGCCTCAGCCTCCCGAGTACCTGGGATTACAGGCACCTGCCACCATGCCCGGCCAATTTTTGTATTTTTAGTAGGGATGGGATTTCACCATGTTGGCCGGGCTGGTCTCCAACTCCTGACCTCAGGTGATCCCTCCGCCTTGGCCTCCCAAAGTGCTGGGATTACAGTGGAGGGCCACCACACCCAGCCTAAGCATGATAATTGAGTGTTCAGGTGCATGTGTGAGATGTGGCACCGTGGAACTGTGGTATGATGTCGGTACGTGACCCGTCTGACATGAGAAAAGGACAAAATAAATAAATAAATGGTATCAATTCAACAGTTCTTAGTAAATTTATAGGGCTCTGGAATCATCAGCACAATCGAATTTTGTTCTCCTAAAGAAACCGAGTCTGGATTCACAGTGAGTCCCTGTTTCCTCCTCCCTCCCAGCCTCTGTCATTTCTCCTGCACTGTACTTGATGGAAAGAGTAGTTTCCACACTTGTTCACTAGTTCAGACCTGCTATGTTCTTGCTAATTTGTTTGCTTGTTTCTGAGAGGTGTGTAAAAAGCTTACACCAAGGTCATGGATTCATGACTTTTCTTTGAGTTGCATTCTTTTTTTTTGCTTTACATATTTTTTTCTTTTTCTTTTTCTTTTTTTTTTTTTTTTGAGACGGAGTCTTGCTCTATTGCCCAGGCTGGAGTACCGTGGCATGATCTCGGCTTACTGCAGTCTCGACTTCTTGGGCTCAGATGATTCTGCCACCTCAGCCTCCCTAATAGCTGGGACCACAGGAGCCCACCACCATGCCCGGCTAAGTTTTTGTATTTTTTGTAGTGATGGGGTTTCACTGTGTTACCCAGGCTGGTGTCAAACTCCTGGGCTCAAGCAGTCTGCCCGCCTTGGCCTCTCGCTGGGATTACAGGTGTGAGCCACTGTGCCTGGCTTTTTTTTTTTTTTTTTTTTGGAGACAGGGTCTCACTGTCACCCAGGCTAGTATGCAGTGGCGTGATCACAGCTCACTGTAGCCTCAACTTCTGGGCTCAAGTGATCCTCCCATCCCAGCCTCCTGGATGGCTGGGACTACAAGGACACACCAGCACACCCAGCGAATTTTTTGTATTTTTTTGCGGAGACGGTTTCACCACGTTGCCCAGGCTGCTTTACACGTTTTGACGTTAGGTTAGATATACATAGATGTAGGAATGTTGTATCTTTCTGGAATTTCTCTGTGTGATCAGTGAACTTTCTTCTGAGTGAATACTGCTTTTTGCTTTATAGCCCATTTTGTTTGCTATTACTGTTGCTACACCAGCTTCTTTAAAGTTAGAATTTGCCTACTGTGTCTTTTTCTCTCCTGCTCCCAGCCTTTCCCTTTGTTGCATTTTATTGCTTTTAGAAACACCACATTGCTCGTTTTCAGTGTTTAATTTAATCTCAGCAACTCTTTCTTTCAACAGATAAGTTTGATCTCTTTAATTTGTCGAGGCGACCGTTAGATTCGAATTCTTTTGTATTTTTTAATTTCCTGTGCCTTATCTTTGTGCCTTTATCCTCCTCCTTTTCTGCCCTCCATCAGATTGATAGAGCTTTTTTTTTTTTTTTTAATCTTTCCTCTTCTGGTTTTGAAGTGATACATTCTATTTATGTTCTTTTTTTTAGACAAGTTCTTGCGCTGTTGTCCAGGCTAGAGGCCAGTGGTGTAATCACGGCTCACTGCAGCCTTGACCTCCTGGGCTCAGGCGATCTTCCCGTCTCAGCTTCCAGTGTAGATGGGACTACAGATGCGTGCCACCACGCCCAGCGAATTTTTTTTTTTGAGACGGAGTCTCGCTCTGTCGCCCAGGCTGGAGTGCAGTGGCCAGATCTCAGCTCACTGCAAGCTCCACCTCTCGGGTTTACGCCATTCTCCTGCCTCGGTCTCCCGAGTAGCTGGGACTACAGGCGCCGCCACCTCGCCCGGCTAGTTTTTTGTATTTTTTTAGTAGAGATGGGGTTTCACTGTGTTAGCCAGGATGGTCTTGATCTCCTGACCTCGTGATCCGCCCATCTCGGCCTCCCAAAGTGCTGGGATTACAGGCTTGAGCCACCGTGCCTGGCCTCCCAGCGAATTTTTATAGAGAGATCTTCCTGTGTTGCCCAACCTGATCTTGAACTCCTGGGCTCAGGTGATCTGCCCACCTCGGCCTCTCAAGATGCTGGGACCACAGGCTTATTTATGTTCTTTAGTGGTTACTCTTATATTTTTAACATGAGAACTGGATTTTTTTTAAAAGTCTGAAGTTAATTAGACTTTCCATTCTCTATCCAGGCAACTGAAGGATCTCAGAGTGCTTGATCTTCCGGCCATCACGAGCTTCTGTTATTGTTGTTTAGTATTTTAATTCTGTTTTGTTTCAAAACCTTCAACAATGATTTTTTAGTTTTGAACTCAGTGAGTTGTTTTTTGTTTTTTTTTTTTTTTGAGGCAGAGTCTTGCCCTGTCACCAGGCTGCAGTGCAGTGGTGCAATCTCGGCTCACTGCAACCTCCACCTCCCAAGTTCAAGCAATTCTCCTGCCTCAGCCTCCTGAGTACCTGGGACTACAGGCGCACACCATCACACCCGGCTCATTTTTTATATTTTAGTAGAGGCAGGGTTTCACCATGTTTGTCAGGATGGTCTCAATCTCCTGACCTCGTGATCTGCCTGCCTCAGCCTCCCAAAGTGCTGGGATTACAGACATGAGCCACTGCGCTCCGCCTTTTTTTTTTTTTTTTTTTTTTTTTTTAGAGACAGGGTCTCCCTCTGTCGCCCAGGCTGTAGTACAGTGGTGCCGTCATAGCTCACTGCAGCCTTGAACTCCTGGGCTCAAGCGATCCTCCCATCTCAGCCTCCTGAGTAACTGGGACTACAGATGTGTGCCACCACTCCAGGCGAATTTTTATTTTATTTTATTTTAATTTTTTGTAGAGACAGGGTCTTGCTATGTTGCCCAGGCTGGTCTTGAACTCCTGGGCTCAAGTGATCCTCTTGCCTTGGCCTCCCAAAGTGCCAGGACTACAGGTATGAGCACCTCGCCCAGCCTGCGGTGCTGATTCAGGTGGACTCAGTGCTTTTTGAGTCCTGGCCTGGTTCTCCTCCTCTGCATGCTCCTCACTCTCCTTCTTACTGAACCACATTCTTTCTACAAGAGCCTCTCACTGGAAAACTCGCCCAGCCTTTGCCTCAAAATACCTTTCTCGCCACTGGTGCTTTTGAGCAATAGCGTAGCTAGGTATAGAAATACAGGATGCCACGTCTAGAGAGGAATGCCTGTTCCATTGTACCTCCTTGCACAGAGCGCTAAGGAAAAGTACCAATTTGAAAGGTGAAAATGCTCTTCTACTTTTTGTTTTCTTTTTTATTTTTTTGGAATGGAATCTCGCTCCGTCACCCAGGCTGGGGTGTGCGGTGTGCAGTGACGCAATCTTGGCTCACTGCAACCTCTGCCTCCTGGATTCAAGCGATTCTCCTGCCTCAGCCTCCTGATTAGCTGGGACTACAGGCATGAGCCACCACACCCGGCTAATTTTTTGTATTTTTAGTAGAGACAGGGCTTCGCCATATTAGCCAGGCTGGTCTCGAACTCCTGAGCTCAAGTGACCACAAGCCTCGGCCTCATAAAAGTGCTGGGATTACAGGCGTGAGCCGCTGCGCCCAGCCTGGTCTTTCACTTTGATTTGTATTTCTTTTTCACTGTCAGTGAGGCAGAACGTTTTTTCAGCATCTTTGGCCATTCACCTGTTGTGAAAGGTGAAAATGTTCCGCCTTTCAGCTGTTGTTAAACTTTCTAGTTTTTCTGCCCTTACTGAATTAAAATTATGAGTCATTTGCCGTATTTGTTGCAAATATTTTTTTCCCAGTTGGATCCCGAAATCTAACACCCTGCAAGAAAAGGGTCTGGGAATTGCTAGGAGAAGAGCGGTCATCCAGGGGGACACCTGGTGCTGTGCCCCTGGTAACCCCTGGGCTGGGCTGTCCCCACAGAGTCCAGTCTCGTGCTGCTGCAGGGGCACCCCTGCCTGGTGGAGCTGCTGTCTCATGTGCTGAAAGTCCAGGACCTGAGTCCCGGGGTCCTCTCCTTCTCTCTGCGCCTGGCAGGAACCTTCGCAGCCCAGGAAAACTGCTTCCAGTATCTTCAGGTGAGCCTGGGGCCTCCCACCCGAGTGTCCCGTGGAGAGGTGGGCAACCTTCTCCTCCTGCAGGCAGGTGGGGCGTTTGTAGCCATCACCATCCCAAGTTCCAGCGGCCTGCCCCAACCCTGTGTCCTCGCCAGAACTGCATGCTTTTACCCTTGACTGTAGCCCCTTTGAAAAATTCTCCCAGAGTGTTGCTGGGGCTAAGGAGTTGAGGTTTTTTGGAATAAGATGACTGGGATTGGCTCCCAGCTCTGATCAGCTGTCTGACCTTCCCACGGCCGCAAGCCTCCGTCCCTCCCTAGGACGGAGATGGGGGTCGTAGCTGCGCCGTGGCCTCCGTCCCTCCCTAGGACAGAGATGGAAGTCGTAGCCGCACCATGGGGTTGTCATGAGGACCAAACGAGACCGCACATCCTGCACCTCCAGCGACCCAGCCTACAGATGAATGAATGACTAATGAGAATGTCTTTTTTAAAAAAAATTAACTAATTTTATTTATTTTTTATTTTATTTTATTACTATTTTTTGAGACCCCAGGCTGGAGTGCAGTGGCTCAAACTCAGCTAACTGCAGTCTCCACCTCCCAGGTTCAAGCGATTCTCCTGCCTCAGCCTCCCGAGTATCCGGGACTACAGGCACCTGCCACCATGTTCAGCTAAGTTTTGTATTTTTAGTAGAGACGGGGTTTCACCATTTTGGCCAGGCTGGTCACAAACTCCTGACCTCAAGTGATCCGTCTGCCTCGGCCTCCCAAAATGCTGGGATTGCAGGCGTGAGCCACCACATCCGGGCTTTTTTTGTTTTGTTTTTTAGAGACAGAATCCTGCTCTGTCGGCCAGGCTGGAGTGCAGTGGCAGCTCACTGCAGCCTTGACCTCCTGGGCTCAAGTGACCCTCCCCATTCAGCCTCCTGAGTAGCTGGGTCCACAGGTGCATGCACCTGACTAACTTTTTTTATCTTTGGTAGAGATGGGGTCTCACTGCATTGCCCAGGCTGGTCTCAAACTCCTGGCCTCAAGCAATCCTCCTGCCTCGGTCATGAGCCACTGCTCCCAGCCAAGAATTTCTACGTAGCAGCAAGGCATGAGAGCTCGAGAGCCCTCCAGAGCTGTGTCTTCCAGCTCCAAACAGGCAGCGCTGAGTCTGTCAGGTGATGCCTGATGTGAGCCTCAGGGCCCTTGCCCGTCTAGCACGACGGCTTCTCTTGGTGCCCCACAGGCCCTCGCCAGGTTGCTCGAAGGCACGTCCAGTACCGTTAGCTTGCCATTCATGGTGCCCCCCAATTAAGCACCTGCAGACTCCCTAGCAGCCCACCCAGGCACCATCCTGCTGCAGGACAGACTTTCCAAGACGTCCTAGGGCGCTGCTGTACAGTGAATCCGGGGGCCCTTGTCTGTCAGCAGCTGGTAGGAAAGGGCCCTCCAGACCAGGCGCGGTGGCTCATGCCTGTAATCCCAGCACTTTGGGAGGCTGAGGCAGGCGGATCACCTGAGGTCAGGAGTTCGAGACTAACCTGACCAACATGGTAAAGACCTGTCTTTACTAAAAATGCAAAAACTGGCTGGGCGTGGTGGTGGGCACCTGTAATCCCAGCTACTCGGGAGGCTGAGACAGGGGAATAGCTTGAGCCCGGGAGGCAGAGGTTGCAGTGAGCCGAGATTGTGCCACTGCACTCCAGCCTGGGCAACAGAGTGAGACTGTCAATAAATACATACATACAAACATACATACATGAAAGCGTCCTCCAAAAGTGCCTCCACCAGCCCTGGAAAACTGAAAACCCATCTGTGCTTTGCTCCACATCCCTGGAAACCTGCCAGGTCCCCTAACCTCTTTTTTGTTTGTTTTTTTGAGACGGAGTCTCGCTCTGTTACCCAGGCTGGTGTGCAGTGGTGCGATCTTGGCTCACTGCAACCTCTGCCTCCCAGGTTCAAGCGATTCTCCTGCCTCAGCCTTCTGAGTAGCTGGGATTACAGGTGCGTGCCAACACACCCGGCAGATTTTTGTATTTCTAGTAGAGACGGGGTTTCACCATGTTGGTCAGGCTGGTCTTGAACTCCTGACCTCGTGATCTGCCCTCCTCAGCCTCCCAAAGTGCTGGGATTACAGGCATGAGTCACCGTGCCCGGCCCCCCCTCACATCTTTTTTTGCTTCCCAGCAGGGGGAGTTGCTACCAGGGCTCTTTGGGGAGGCAGGACCCCTCGGCCGAGCAGCCTGGGCCGTCCCCACTGTGCGCAGCGGCTGGATCCAGGGCCTACGCTCCCTGGCACAGCACCCCAGCGCCCTGCGCTTCCTGGCCGACCACGGTGAGTGCGCCCACACCCCACCCCATTCCTCATCCTTTCTGTGTGACCCCAGGGGAGTCACTGCACCTTGCTGAATCTGAGCGTCTGGTCTGTGTGATGTCGCAGGGTTGTTGTGAAGAATGCACCGTGACAGTACTGCTGTCCAGTGTCCTCTGGTTTGCAAGTCAGGCCCTAGGAGCCGAGACGGCTTTCTCAGCTGTGAGGACTCAGTCTTTGAAACTATTTGAGAGCCAGGCGTGGTGGCGCCTGGCTATAGTCTTGGCTACTCGGGAGGCTGAAGCAAGAGGATCTTTTGAGTCCAGGGGGTGGAGGCTGCAGTGAGCAGTGGTTGAGCCACTGCACTCCAGCTTAGGCTACAGAGCAAGACCCTGTCTCAAAACACAAGAAACAAGGCCGGGCACAGTGGCTCACGCCTGTAATCTCAGCACTTTGGGAGGCCAAGGCAGGTGGATCACCTGAGGTCAGGAGTTCAAGACCAGCCTGGCCAACATGGTGAAACCCCATCTCTACTAAAAATACAAAAATTAGCAGGGCATGATGGCAGGTGCCTGTAATCCCAGCTACTTGGGAGGCTGAGGTGGGAGAATGGCTTGAACCCGGGAGGTGGAGGTTGCAATGAGCCAAGATTGCACCATTGTACTCCAGCCTGGGCGACAGAACGAGACTCCGTCTCAGAACAACAACAAGAAGAACAAAAAACAACAAGGAACGAATTGGGAAGCATCACAAGCTGTGTGTGTTTAACGCTCAGCTGGGGGGAGGTGCTTGTCTCTAGGGAGCTTCAGTTCCTGTTCTCTTTTGCTTTTGAGTGGAGGGGCATTTGGGGGCATCTTGGGGTGCCCTCTGCTGTTTGCATCTTCCCTGAGGCCCTGGAGTCCTGGATTAAGGTTGCTGTCTGCCTCCCCTGGCTCTATTCTGGCTCATCCCCTTTTTCCTGTCTTGCCCCATCCCCTGCCCAGGTGCAGTCGACACCATCTTCTCCCTACAGGGAGACTCCAGCCTGTTTGTGGCCTCGGCAGCCAGTCAGCTCCTGGTGCACGTCCTGGCTTTGTCCATGCGAGGTGGAGCCGAGGGGCACCCCTGCCTGCGGGGAGATGACTGGCCCGCGTGTGCCCAGAAGATCACGGATCATGTGGAGGAGTCCCTGTGCTGCACGGCCACCCCCAAGGTCACTCAGGCCCTGAACGTCCTGACCACGACCTTCGGGCGCTGCCAGAGCCCCTGGACGGAAGCCCTGTGGGTGCGGCTGAGTCCCCGCGTGGCCTGTCTGCTGGAGAGAGACCCCATCCCCGCCGCACACTCGCTCGTGGACCTGCTTCTCTGTGTGGCTCGGTCAGGCCCCCGGGACGCAGCTGGGGGGCCTGGGTGGGCAATTGTTTTCCTCAGATGATGCCCGGGCATGTCCCACTGGCAGCCAGAGACTCCCTGAGGATGTGGCCTGCAGTGAAGCGGCACCGGGGTGACCCTGGAACCCTCGGGGGGAAAGGCCTGTCCTGGGCTGGGCGCCTTCAGCGCTGGGGCCATGGCAATCTCTCAGCCAGGCCTGGAATGGGGTTTTAGGGGATGGGGAATAATTTCTCTCTCTGGGGTCTCCCTGCAGTTCTCCTGTGTTCAGTTCTTCTGACGGCGGCCTGTGGGAGACGCTGGCGCAGGCTCTGAGCTGCCTGGGTCCCACCCACGTGGGACCCCTGGCTTTGGGGATCCTGAAGCTCGAGCACTGGTATGGGCTGGGGTGCGTTTCATGCGAAGGTGGGTGTTGGGAGCCAGGACAGGCAGGGAGGTTGAGAGCGCAGCCCTCAAGGCAGGGGAGTTCCGGAAACCAGGGACAGTCAGGCGGCCGTGTGGGGTGTGATTGCGCCATGCGTGGGTTACGCGTGGCAGTCGTGCAGGCTGGCGGCTTCTGCAGGATCTTTAGCACCAGAATAATTGTTTCAAGACAAAAGCCCTGCGAGATCCCCAGAGGTAAGAAGGATGGCCGGAGCTGCTCTGCCCAGAGTGGGATGGTCCTGCCCAGGCCCTGCGCTCCACAGCCCTCCCACCTGTCCCCCCACCGCAGCCTTGGTTGGAGGTGCTGGAGCTCCCCAGCACATACACCATGCAGATGGGGGGGCCTGGGGGCGGTGGAACGGCAGTGCCTGGGTCAGGACAGGTGGGAAGGCCGTGGACGGCCTGCCAGGGTTCTGGGTGGGCTCACATTAGGGGTGGACATGACCTCAGGACCCGCTGCCCAAAGGGCCCAAGGGTACCATGAAAGCCCGGCTCTGAGCTCCGGGATCGCCGAATGTTTAGGAGAGTAGACGGGGAGGACGGAGGAACAGACCCGGCCTTGCAGGAATGCACTGTGGGGACACTGCCCCCACCTGGGCCCAGATGTGAGGGCAGGTCCCTCCTACAGTGGTGCGGCATGGGGGGGGGGGGGGCTGGCGGCCTGGTGGCCCAGACTGAGGGCAGGTCCCTCCTACAAAGTGGATGCTGTGCACACCTGGGGACACCCCGTCCCTGTCCGCCTGAGTGGGCACTGCCCCTCTCTCTGGGTGCATGGCCAGGCCCTCCAGGAGACCCCTCAGTGTCTGCTTCTAAGGACATTGGGAGTATCAGGCTCATCTCCTTGGTCAGGTCTGTCTCCCCGCCACTCTCTGTCCCATGGCGTCCCCTGGCCAGTGGCCTGCAGAGAAACTGTTTCTTGGTGGGCTGTCCCAACCCCCTCCCTGATTTGCCCCAGGCTTGCTGGGGATGTTAGCACAGCCAGCTTGCCTCATGGCCAGGGTCACGGGGCTCACTGTGTGTTTGTCTCCAGCCCACAGGCACTGAGGACCCAGGCCTTCCAGGTCCTCCTCCAGCCCCTGGCCTGTGTCCTGAAGGCCACAGTTCAGGCCCCCGGACCCCCAGGTACGCCGCTCAGAAAGGGCTGGGAGGGCGGAACCTGGGTCCCTGCAGCTGGGGGAGGGGAGATGGATGGGAGTACCAGACTCGCCACCCCCATCCCACTTTAGTCACACCCAGGCCTCCCACTAAGAGGAAAGGGGACCGGGGGCGTGGCCATCATCCCTGGTGAGCCGCTGCTCTGCACCCAGGTCCTGGCCTCTGCTGCGAGTGGTGGCCGGGGGTGGCTGGCGACCGTGGGCAGGCCGAAGTGCTCTCTAAGGGAGCTCTTTCCTGGCTTGGTCCCCAGGCTTGCTGGACGGGACGGCAGACGACGCCACGACGGTGGACGCGCTCCTGGCCTCCAAGTCGTCCTGTGCGGGCCTCCTGTGCCGCACCCTGGCTCACCTGGAGGAGCTGCAGCCGCTGGTAGGTGTGGCCCCGCCCTCATGCAGCCCGGCAGCATCCACACCGGCGGTGGGACCGCAACCTGGGCTGACGCCCCGCACCCCTTGCAGCCCCAGCGCCCCTGCGTCTACACCAGCCGTGGGATCACAACCCTGGCTGATGTCCCCCGCCCCACATGCCTCGAAGCCCCAGCGCCCCTGCATCCACGCCGGCAGTGGGACCGCAACCTTGGCTAACGCTCCCCTCCCTCGCCAGCCCCAGCGCCCGTCGCCGTGGCCCCAGGCGTCCCTGCTGGGGGCTGCAGTGACTGTCCTGCGGCTCTGTGATGGCTCGGCTGCTCCCGCCTCCAGCGTGGGGAGCCACCTCTGTGGGACTCTGGCGGGCTGCGTCCGGGTCCAGCGAGCAGCCCTCGACTTCCTGGGGACGCTGTCAGAGGGGACAGGTGAGTGTGTTCTGTACGGCTTTGGCGTTGGGCGAAACCCAAGCCCCCACTCTCCTTTCTGCTCGGAGGCGCCTGGGAATTGCTGTCCCTCTGTGTTTCTTCTCTGGGGCGGGGGCTGAGGGGTGCAGGGGCCGTGCAGGAGGTTTTAGCTGGCAAATGAGGCCTTGTCCTGCTCCTTCCCAGAGTTGATGGGGAAGGCCGTGGGGTGGAGGTGGGGGTGGTTTATCCACTCACCTCTTTCTCAGGCCCCCAGGAGTTGGTGACGCAGGCGCTTGCTGTCCTCCTGGAGTGCCTCGAGAGCCCCGGCTCCAGCCCCACGGTACGGATAGGGAACGAGGAGAGGAGGGAGGCAGAGGCAGTGGGACCCACCCCCCACTCCACCCTGGCCCCATGCGGGCCTCTAGGGACGGGGCCTTCACACAGGGCCACAGAGTCACTGCTCAGAGAGCTTCATGATACAGGTGGCTGCATGCGTCGGGCCCAGGGCCTCTTGTTGGTGAAGATACATCAGCATGCAGGGATGTGTGGGGCCGTGGGGAGCAGGGGCGCCGGCCAGGCGGCCTGCAGGGAATTCTGGACAAGGGAAATGAAGTGGCACCAGGACGGCCCTGGGCGTGGGCTCCGGGTTCTCTTAAGCGCCGTTTGTGAACGTGCCCACTCCATAGCCCCTTGTGGAGCTGGGCCCTGGCGGGTACAGACCTTGTGCCGCCTGTCGCTGAGCAGACAGTGGACAGCTTTGGAGGAAGGGCCCAGGGCCTCCTGAGATCCTACGGAAAAGTGCCCTGCGTCATTGGTCATGTTTTGATGCAGAAATCCCGCTGCCTGGGTGGTGGGTCTTCTGGTGGGGGCCACTGCCGCCTCCTGCTCACAGTCTGGGGAGCCGCTTCCGCAGCAGATCCTGCTTTATTAAAATCAGCCCGAGAGGGGTGTGGAGCTCAGAGCTGTGATTACTGTGCTTTGGGAGGATCCGTGGAGCCCAGGACTTTGAGTCCAGCCTGGGCAACATAGCAAGATACCATCTCTACAAAAAATACAAAAATTAGCCCCGGGGTGTAGCTCAGGGGTAGAGCATTTGACTGCAAAAATTAGCCGGGCATGGTGATGTGTGCCTCTAGCCCCAACCACTCATAAGGCTGAGGCAGGAGGATTGTTTGAGCCTGGGAGGTGGAGGCTGCAGTGAGACCCTGTCTCTAAAAAAGAAAGAAGCCCAGCGTTCCCTTCTGTCTCCACTTCCTGTCCCCATCTCTGTCCCTGCAGTGGGGGCAGCACAGAGGAAGGTGAGGGGACAGGCAGACAGCTTGTCCCTCCGCCTCTCGTGGCCCTACAGCCCGCCCTGTCTGCTCCAGGTTCTGAAGAAGGCCTTCCAGGCCACACTCCAGTGGCTTCTGAGCTCACCCAAGACCCCTGGCTGCTCTGATCTTGGCCCCCTCATCCCGCAGTTCCTCAGAGGTAACGCAGCCCCTCACAGGGGTGAATGGAGCTGGAGTCGCAGGGGTGGAGGCAGCAGGGACTGGGCGGCTCCGAGGGCAGCGTGAGCCTGGCCCCAAGCTCGCCCTGACCTGCCCCTTCCCGCCCTAGAGCTGTTCCCTGTGCTGCAGAAACGCCTGTGCCACCCCTGCTGGGAGGTGAGGGACTCCGCCCTCGAGTTCCTGACCCAGCTGAGCAGGCACTGGGGAGGTGAGTGCTGGCAGATGGAGGGGCTGCCTTCCCGCCTGCTGGGGGCTCACTGAGCCGGGGTGCACCAGCAGCCTCTTGCTGGCTCTAGAAACTTGGGCCATGTCGGCTGCCCACAAGGGGGTGGAGGCAGAGGCCGAGGCGGCAAGGCTCGGCCCTCGGTCACAGCTGCATGTGGCCACTTCGACCCCCAGGACAGGCCGACTTCAGATGCGCCCTCCTGGCTTCAGAGGTGCCTGAGCTGGCCCGGCAGCTCCTCCAGGACCCTGAGAGTTACGTCCGAGCGAGCGCAGTGACCGCCACGGGGCAACTTTCCAGCCGGGGCCTGCACGCCCCCACCAGCCCTGAGTATGCAGAGGCCCGGCAGGTAGGAAGTGCTGGGTTCCTCGGCTACCAGCCCCTGCCAGCCCTGAACATGCAGAGGCCCAGAAGGTAGGAGGTGGCGGGTTCCTCGGCCAGCAGCTCCCACCTGGCCATCGTGTGTGCTCGACTGCTTGCGGGTGGGTGAGCAGCCAGCATCCACCGTGGGAGCAGCTGCTGCTGTGGGCAGCACCTGTGGGAGTGACTGCCGAGGCCCTGGGGCTCTGCTGGGCGTGGGGCCTGTGCTCTTCGCCTTGTCTCCCCAGCACCCCTCCCCTTAGACATGGTTACCTCCATTTGACAGATGGGTAAACTGAGGATTGGAGGGCGATGTGCTCACTGCGTAGCACGGGAAGGTGCCAGAGTGGGGTGTGGCCCTAGACTGCCCATGTCCGGGGCCAGCCCCACGGATGCCCCTGGGGTCCTGTTGTGGGAGCCCCACTCCTGCCGCCCCACCGACCATCCCCACCCGCTCCCTGTCCCCCAGAGCCTGTTCCTGGAGCTCCTACACATCCTCTCCGTGGACTCGGAGGGCTTCCCACGGAGGGCGGTCATGCAAGTCTTCACCGAGTGGCTGCGGGACGGCCACGCTGACGCGGCCCAGGACACGGAGCAGTTCGTGGCCACTGTGCTGCAGGCGGCAAGCCGGGACCTGGACTGGGAGGTCCGCGCCCAGGGCCTGGAGCTGGCGCTGGTGTTCCTGGGCCAGACGTTGGGCCCGCCACGTACCCACTGCCCCTATGCTGTGGCCCTACCCGAGGTGGCCCCAGCCCGGCCACTCACCGAGGCACTGAGGGCTTTCTGCCACGTGGGGCTCTTTGACTTCGCCTTTTGTGCCTTGTTTGACTGCGACCGCCCTGTGGCGCAGAAGTCCTGTGACCTCCTCCTCTTCCTGAGGGACAAGATTGCTTCCTACAGCAGCCTGCGGGAGGCCGGGGGCGGCCCCAACACCGCCTCAGTGGAGGCCGCCCTGCCGAGGTGCCGGACGGGTGAGCATGCCCAGCCCCCAGGGGACCAGGAGCCTGAGGCTGTGCTGGCCATGCTCAGGTCCCTAGACCTGGAGGGCCTGCGGAGCACACTGGCCGAGAGCAGCGACCACGTGGAGAAGAGCCCCCAGTCCCTCCTGCAGGACATGCTGGCCACGGGGGGCTTCCTGCAGGGGGATGAGGCTGACTGCTACTAAGTAGAACCAGATTCTGCCACTGGGGTTCAGGACTGAGGAAGGCAGTGCCACGTCCTTTCGTGGGACACTGCTATCCCCAGGGCTCCAGCCCAGCCCAGTGGATCCTCTGGGGAAGCCAGGACCAGGAGAGAAACAAAGTCAAGAAATGCCACATTTTGATGTATTAAAGAAATGACTTATTTTCTACTCAAAATAAATGGCATTGAAGTCTTTAATCCATTTTGAGTTAATTTAGTAATAATGATCTGAGACAAGGGTCCAGTTTCATTCATTCGAATGTGGATATCCAGTTTTCCCAGCACTGTTCCTCCCTCCCTCCCTCCCTCCCTCTCTTCCTTCTTCCTTTCCTCCCTTCTTCCTCCCTCCCTCCCTTCCCTTCCCTTCCTTCTTTCCTTCCTTTCTTTTTCTTTCTTTCTCTTTCTCTTTCTCTGTCTCTTTCTTTCTTTCTTTTTTTTTTTTTTTTTTTTTTTTTTTTTTTTTTTGAGACGGAGTCTCACGCTGTTGCCCAGGCTGGAGTGCAGTGGCGCGATCTCGGCTCACTGCAAGCTCCGCCTCCCGGGTTCCCGCCATTCTCCTGCCTCAGCCTCCTGAGTAGCTGGGACTACAGGCGCCTGCCACCGCGCCCGGCTAATTTTTTGTATTTTTAGTAGAGACGGGGTTTCACTGTGGTCTCGATCTCCTGACCTCGTGATCCGCCCGCCTTGGCCTCCCAAAGTGCTGGGATTACAGGCTTGAGCCACCGCGCCCGGCCTCTTTCTTTCTTTTGAGAGTTTCACTCTTGTTGCCTAAGCTGGAGTGCAGTGGCACAATCTTGGCTCGCTGCAACCTCTGCCTCCTCGGTTCAAGCGATTCTCCTGCCTCAGCCTCCCAAATAGCTGGGATTACAGGCACACACCACCATGCCTGGCTAATTTTTTGTATTTTTAGTAGAAATGGGGTTTCACCATGTTAGCCAGGCTGGTCTCGAACTCCTGACCTCAGGTGATCCACCCACCTCAGCCTCCCAAAGTGCTGGGATTACAGGCGTGAGCCACTGTGCCCGGCCAATTTATTTTATTTTTTTCTTTATTCCTTTCTTCCTTCCTTTCTTTCCTTTCTTTCCTTTCTTTCCTTTCTTTCTTTTCTTTCCTTTCTCTTTCTTTCTTGTCTTGATCTGTCCCCTAGGCTGCAGTGCAGTGATGCAATCTCAGCTCACTAGCCTGTACATCCCAGGCTCAAGTGATCCTCCCACTTCAGCCTCCCAAGTAGCTGGGACTACAGTCACAGGTCGCCATGTCTGGCTACTTTTCTGGGGTATTTTCTTTGTAGAGACAGTTTCACTGTGTTGCCCAGGCTGCTCTCAAACTCCTGAGCTCAGGTAATTTGCCTGCCTTGGCCTCCCAAAGTGCTGGGATTATAGGCATGAGCCACTGCGCCCAGTGATGTTTTAGTTTGTTTTACAGATGGGGTCTTGCTCTGCGGCCCAGGCTGGAGTGCAGTGGCATGGTCAGTTCACTGCAGCTTCAACTTCCTGGGCTCAAGCCACCTGCCTGCCTCAGCCTCTGAAGTAGCTGGGACTATAGGCGCATGCCACCACACCCAACTAATTTTTAAAATCTTTGTAGAGATAGTCTCCCTAGGTCCTCTTTTATTTATTTACGTATTTATTTACTGAGACAGAGCCTCACTCTGTTGTCCAGGCTGGAGTGCGATGGCGCAATCTTAGCTCACTGCAACCTCTGCCTCCCGGGTTCAACCGATTCTCCTGCACAGCCTCCTGAGTAGTCTGGTCCTCTCTTATTAAAGGGACTATCCTTTCCCCACTGTGTATTCTTGGCACCCTTGTCAAAGACTAATCATGAGGGTTTATTTCTATACTCTGTTCCACTGGTCTGTGTGTCTGTTTGTGTGCCAGTACTATACTGTTTTGTTTACTCTAACTTTGTAGTATACTTTGAAGTCAAGTAATGTGACGCCACCAGCTTTGTTCTTTTTCAAAATTACTTTGGCTCTGGGGTCTTTTGTGGTTCCATATGAATTTTAGGATTGTTTTTTCAACTTCTGTGAAAAATGCCATTGGAATTTTGATAGGAATTGCATTGAGGCTGTAGAGCACTTTGGGTAGTATGGACATTTAAAAAATATTAGTCGCCGGGCACAGTGGCACACACCTGTAATCCCAGCACTTTGGGAGGCTGAGGTGGGTGGATCACGAGGTCAGGAGATCGAGACCATCCTGGCTAACACAGTGAAGCCCCATCTCTACTAAAAATACAAAAAAAGAGCCGGGTGTGGTGGCGGGCACCTGTAGTCCCAGCTACTTCGGAGGCTGAGGCAGGAGAATGGCGTGAACCCGGGAGGCGGAGCTTGCAGTGAGCTGAGATCACGCCACTGCCCTCCAACCTGGGTGACAGAGCGAGACTCTGTCTCAAAAAAAAAAAAAAAAAAAAAATTGTCGTTCTTATCCATGCACATGGGATATCTTTCCATTTATTTGTGTCCTCTTCAGTTTATTTAAATTGGTGTCTTAACAGTTTCCAGTGTACAGATCTTTCACCTCTTTGGTTAAAGTTATTCTTGGGGGCCGGGCGCAGTGGCTCACGCCTGTAATTCCAGCACTTTGGGAGGCTAAGGTGGGCGGATCACCTGAGGTCAGGAGTTCGAGACCAGCCTGGCCTCAAGTGATCCTCCTAGCACTCCATAAGTGTTGGGATTACAGGCGTGAGCCACCACACCACATCCAGCTAGGCAGTTGCTCTCTTGTAGTGCGTTGGTTTGTTCAGCATATCCCAGCGTCCCCTGACTTCTGTCGCCGTGTTCAAGAGTTTGGCTGTCAGTCTAACGTCCATTCTTTCAAATAACTCTTTTTTTCCTCTGGCTGCTTTCAATATATATATTTTTTTTGAATTGTCCTTGGTTTTCAGCAATTTTACTATCTTTTGTAGGTGAGAGGTTTTTTTTATTTGTTCTGCTTGGAATTCACTAGGATTCTTAAATCTGTGCATTAGTAGTTTTCATCAGTTCTGGGAAATTCTTAGCCACTATCCTTTCAGATATTCTCTCTCTCTTCCTCCTCTCATCTCCTCTTCCCCCTTTCCTCGTCTTTTTTTTTTTTTGAGACAGTGTCTCACTGTGTCACGCAGGCTGGAGTGCAGTGGCACAATCTCAGCTCATGGCAATCTCTGCCTCCTGGGTTCGAGTGATTCTCCTGCCTCAGCCTCCTGAGTAGTTGGGATTACAGGTACGTGCCACCACACCTGGCTAATTTTTGTATTTTTAATAGAGATGGAGTTTTGCCATGTTGGCCAGGCTGGCCTCAAACTCCTGACCTCAGGTCATCCACCCGTCTCTGCCTCCCAAAATGCTGCTACTGCACTTGGCCCTCCTTTAACTAACTTCTTTGAGAGTATGTTATGGGCTGGGACTGGTTGCTCCTATCATCATCACCCACATTCCATCGTCCAGACTTGAGCCATGTGGCTATGCCCAGCTATGAAGGATCCTGGGGACTGTGGTTAGGCCGGGTGCCTGGAAACAAGTCAACAGGACCACCTGGCCAATGTCGGTCACAGCACACAACCACCCCAGTGTCTGGCACAGTGCACAACTGTCCTCGTGTCTGAAGCCTGTGCAGGTCACTCATGGTGCCCTGTTTCCCTGTGTTCTTAGTCATCTTTATGTGCTGCTCACTGGCTTTGAAAAATGTTGATGGAGAGATTATTTGAGGCCTAGGATGAAGGTAGAGTCCACTAGGGAGGAGTAATTTGGGGCATTACCCACTGGAGGCCACTGCAAACCAAACATACTGGCCACTCAAAGGTCTGGGCACGGTGGCTCATGCCTGTAATCCCAGCACTTTGGGAGGCTGAGGTAGGAGGATTGTTTAAGGCCAGGAGTTTGATAATAGCCTGGACAACATAGAAAGACCCAATCTTTACACATTTTTTTTTGTTTTGAGACGGAGTCTCACTCTGTTGCCCAGGCTGGAGTGCAGTAGTGTAGTGTGATCTCGGCTTACTGCAATCTCCACCTCCTGGGTTCAAGCAATTCTGTCTCAGACTCCCTAATAGCTGGGATTACAGGTGCCCACCACCACACCTGCCTAATTTTTGTATTTTTTAGTAGAGACAGGGTCTCACCAGGTTGGCCACGCTGGTCTCGAACTCCTAATCTCAGGTGATCCACCTGCCATGGCTTTTCAAAGTGCTGGGATTACAGGCGTGAGCCACTGCACCTGGTGTATTTCTTTTCTTTTTAATTAGCTGGGCGTGGTGGTATGCACCTGAAGTTCCAGCTACTTGGGAGGCTGAGGTGGGAGGATTGCTCGAGCCCAGGAGTTCGAGGCTGCAGTGAGCCATGATCACACCACCGCACTCCAGCCTGGGTGACAGAGAGATACCCTGTGTCAAAACAACGCATTGAATGCTTGGAGTTCTCTGCATTCTTGGGCCTCAAATCTGTGCTGGAGAAGACCTGTTGCCCTAACTTCTCAAGAACTTTTTCTTTTTGCTTCTCTTAGCACCAAGTGTCTTTCCTGTGGAGGGAGCAGGGCTAATTCCGATTCATTCTTACCCTAAGAGTGTAGCCCTTTAGGTTTTCAGCTTAAGGTAGGAAAGGTTTTCTATAATGCTCCCCATTTTGGGCAGGACTGGCCCTGACTTCTCTCCTCCTGACCCCACGAGGCCACGGAATGAGAACCATTGCTGGTTTCGGCAAATGCCCTCTGATAGAAGGGCACCTCCTGGGCGGCACAGCTGTGGGCTGGTGTGCCCCACCAGGGTGCAGCAGTCACATCAGCCCCATCTCAGGGCACATGTCCCTTCCCAGTGACAGCAGGCTGGATGCCTGGGACCAGCCATTTCCCTGAAGACAATGAAACACGCCGGGTGAAATATCCAAAGGCCAAGAACACTGAACAGCGGACAAGATAGCAGGTAACTAAATGCCAGGCCTCGTGCTGGAGGAAGATTGGACTCAGATACAAGGCCCTCCTGCAGGGATCTGGTGAGCCTGGCTCTCAGCTCTGGCCTGGGGGAACTCAGAGCCGGGAGAACAGTGCAGACAGCTGCCCTCCAGGAGGTAATGCTGAACCACCGTGCCTGGTGAAAAGAGACTGCGGGGCCCGGCACGGTGGCTCACGCCTGTAACCTCAGCACTTTGGGAGGCCGAGGTGGGCAGATCTCTTGAGCTCAGGAGTTCAAGACCAGCCTGGCCAACATGGTGAGGCCCCGTTTAC